AGCGCAAGATTACAGTTATCACACTGAAGTTCTTTATAGTCCAAAGGTTCAGCTTTAGCCAGGACATCCTCCATCTTCACAACTTCACCTACTTGGTTGAAGTGTTCTAAACCAGCTTCAAACTGATTACACAGCACGGCTTCAGCTTTCATAAGTTTGTTATTTTCGTCGTTTTCTATACATTTACAAGTGCATGCTAATGATGACCAGGTTGAAGTAGGGTTAACTGGTTGGGCGTCTGTCATCTCCTCTTTGATATCAACCCCCTCAAACTTTTCTCTTTTTTCAAGTGACATTCCTGATAGAAATTTGTGTATTAAAGTTCTTTACGTCTTTAGCAAGCAGAATCAAAAATAACAGGATTATGTATTATAATTATTAATTTGTTACTACTCAATCATCAAATTATTAAATAAAATATATAATCAAGCCACAAATTTTATTAAGCATTTAACCAAAAATAGAGTACACTCTAAAGTTTGCAATATCGTTCAAATATTTTGTCGGATAACTGACAAGATTTTGGAAGATATCAAAATTCTGTCCCGAGTAAATCTATCAAACATGCAATATTATATAATGTTTTAATGTATTAACTAGCGAAGTTCTCCTTCCTGAACTTTTTGGATTAAACTATACAGATACTTATAGTTCAGATGAGGTAATATATGGCTACCTTACTCGGGATTATTATGACCGGGATAAAGTGGCGGGTTTAGGGTAATTTCGCCATATTTTTCTCGAACCACATTTTCACCGGTCGTTAATAAACCCGCCGTCTCAGCTTTTAGGGTTCCCAAGGGGGTATGGGTGCTCATATTTTAATCGTTGTCTTATATTCACTAAAGAAGACTATTGGGACACTTGTTGTAGGTTTTTCGACTTCATTTGGCTAAAATTGCAAAAAATTCACCTTTTTGCCCAATTCTTGTCATATATCCCTATTGTCAAAGTTGATTTAAATAGGCAAATTTTTAATTTCTTAGGTATTGACTATCTCTACATAATGAAATAGGACTCAAAGTAAAAGTAACAGTTAAATTAAAACTTGAATTAATTAAAACTGTCAATAACATGAATCAGTTTCATCAGTCATTTATTCATAATTCTAAACAATGTGAACGATGCATTCTTTCGAAGATTTTCTACAAATTGAGTCATAATGGTTATTTGATACACGTAAACATTTAATGCTAATTCAAAACAACGAGTCATTATTTCTGTGTACTTTCAACAATTATTGATAATTCGAATTGTTTCACAAGTTTTAGCAATGCGAAAATTTCTAGCGAAAATTTCTAAACTTGCTTATCTCTAATAAGGAAATTTACATCTGAGACAAAATTTTTGAATCTAAAATTGAAAGGTTGCACACCGGTAAAATGGCGACCGGGAAAATGTGGTGGGTTTTGAGCAATTTCGCCATATTTTTCCCGGACCATATTTTAACCGGTCGTTAATAAACCCGTCGTAATAATCCCGAGTAAGGTAGATCTTATGTGGTTCAATAAATCGTCCTTGGATTTAGGATCACAGTCACAGTACTCGCAGCCATATAGCCCACTATGAATCAACATAATATGCCTTTTTAAAGATCCAGCCGTCTTCACTTTAATGTCGCAGACAGTACAGCACAGTAAGGTTTATCTCCAGTGTGTGTCCGTTTGTGAGCTGTAATATTGCTCAATTGATTTGATTTATAATCACACAAACTGCAAGAATAAGGTTTCTCTCCTGAGTGTGTCCGTTTATGACGAGCAAGAGTGCTCGAATGACTCGTTTTATAGTAGTAGTAGTAGTAAATCTTTCAAAGTACGAAATATCTCTTTAAAAGAGCATCCTAGGCACCTTATAGATATCAAAACGCATAAAAAAGAAAACAAAAAACATCAACCATCTTCTAACTTCTTCCACTCCTCCCTATCTAAAGCTAAAAATCTAAGGTCTTCGAAATCAGTCAAATTCTTAAGTCTAATATCAAGATTTCTACTAGTCAAGTCTTTTCTAATAACATCTAATAAGTTTAAACATGGTCTACCCCGTCTCCCTTCCATAAAAATATCAGAATTTATAGCAAATAACATAGAGGTGTATGCTGGTGAGTCTTCCTGTCCTCTTAAGATATGTCCTAACATTCTCCATCGAAACTTAGAGACTCTCACAGACAAGGGAGTGACATAACAACGAGCATAGAGTGCCTCATTAGAAATAACCCCAGTAGGCCATCTGATGTTGAGGATTCTTCGGAGGTGTTTGCGATGAGCAATATCAAGTTCATTCAACGAAGCTAGTGGTGCAGCCCAGGAGTTGCAGTTGTAGAGTAGAATAGAGACTACTTGTGCCTCGTAGATTTTGATCTTCCTTTGGACTGAAATCTTGCTCTTCATCCAAACTTTCTGAAATTTACTAAAGGCAACATTACCAAGGAATACTCGTTTTATAATCACACAAACTACAAGATTAAGGTTTTTCCCCGGTGTGTGTCCGTTTGTAAGTAGCAAGATCGCTCGATCGATATGATTTATAATCACACAAATTGCAAGAATAAGGTTTATCTTCTGTGTGTGTCCGTTCGTGAGAAGAAAGATTGCTCGATAGATACGATTTATAATCACAAAAACTGCACGAATAAGGTTTCTCCTTGGTGTGTGTCAGTTCATGACGAGCAAGATTGTTCGATTTATTTGATTTATAATCACAAAAACTGCAAGAATAAGGTTTTTCCCCGGTGTGTGTCCGTTTGTGAGTAGCAAGATCGCTCGAATGACTCGTTTTATAATCACACAAACTGCAAGAATAAGGTGTTTCCCGGTGTGTGTCCGTTTATGACCAGCAAGATCGCTCGATTGATTTGACTTATAATCACAAAAACTGCAAGAATAAGGTTTTTCCCCGGTGTGTGTCCGTTTGTGAATAGCAAGATCGCTCGATCGATTCGCTTTATAATCGCACAAAGTGCAAGAATAAGGTTTCTCTCCAGTGTGTGTCCGTTTGTGACGAGCAAGATCGCTCGATTGAATCGCTTTAAAATCGCACAAACTGCAAGAATAAGGTTTCTCTCCATTGTGTGTCCGTTTGTGACGAGCTAGAGCGCCCGATTGACTCGATTTATAATCACACAGACTGCAAGAATAATGTTTTTCTCCGGTATGAGTTCGTTTCTGTTTTGTCAACTTATGTTCAGTCCCAGATGGAGTGGTTTCTGCAATAGATAGAGTTTCAGCCTGAATACCACAGTCAGACTCGGTAGGTATAGGAACAGGAGAAGAATTTCTTTTTGCAGGTCTTACGTTGAATACGTTCGTTGGTGTTACTGTTAGCGCAAGATTACAGTTATCACACTGAAGTTCTTTATAGTCCAAAGGTTCAGCTTTAGCCAGGATGACACGGAAAATCCTATCATCCTCCATCTTCACAACTTCACCTACTTGATTGAGGTGTTTTAAACCCGCTTCAAACTGATTACACAGCACGGCTTCAGCTTTCATAAGTTTGTTATTTTCGTCGTTTTCTTCACATTTACAAGTGCATGCTAATGATGACCAGGTTGAAGTAGGGTTAACTGGTTTGGCGTCTGTCATCTCCTCTTTGATATCAACCCCCTCAAACTTTTCTCTTTTTTCAAGTGACATTCCTGATAGAAATTTGTGTATTAACGTTCTTTACGTCTTTAGCAAGCAGAATAAAAAATAACATGATTATATAATATGTATTATAATTATTAATTTGTAACTATTCAATCATCAAATTATTAAATAAAATATATAATCAAGCCACAAATTTTATTTAGCAATTAACCAAAAATAGAGTACACTCTAAAGTTTGCAATATCGTTCAAATATTTTGTTTGATAACTGACAAAATTTTGGAAGTTATAAAAATTCTGTCCCGAGTAAATCTATCGAACATGCTATAATATTATATAATGTTTAAATGTATTAACTAGCGAAGTTCTCCTTCCTAAATTTTGTTGATTAAACTATACTTATAGTTCAGATGAGGTAATATATGGCTAGATCTTATGTGGTTCAATAAATCGTCCTTGGATTTACGATTACAGTCACAGTACTCGCAGCCATATAGCCCACTATCATGAATCAACATAATATGCCTTTTTAAAGATCCAGCCGTCTTCACTTTAATGTCGCAGACAGTACAGCACAGTAAGATTTATCTCCGGTGTGTGTCCGTTTGTGAGCAGTAATATTGCTCGATTGATTTGATTTATAATCACACAAACTGCAAGAATAAGGTTTATCTCTTGTGTGTCCGTTCGTGAGAAGCAAGGTGGCTCGATTGATTTGATTTATAATTAATTAATTATGATATTGTTCACATATTACGTAATCGACCGAAGGGTGTTCCTTAATGATTGCGCTAGTGTAAATTTGCACTACCACTTAATCGTTCGCCTCAATTTAAAACAAATTCATGTGAAAAGGCCGTGAGCCCGTGAGGGTATGAAAGGGATATATCCCACCTGTCTTTATAAACACAGGTGTTGTTTTCGACGCTGATTCCGAATCACCCCTGACCCCCCATGACGTAGGATAAAAACGCTTCCCTGGAGACTGGAGAGTTATGGGCAAAAAACTGTTTTGGTCACGTGACAGGTTAGTTAAACACGAATTCGATTTTCCAGGACTCGGGTTATGGATAGCTTTGGGGTTATTGTTTAATGTTTATGTAAAACCGTTTGTTTCGGCTACAAAACCATAAAAACTAAAGTCACGTGATAATTTTATGGCGAGCGAATTAGTAAGAGCCGTAAATTTGACGATGAGGATCACGACGTGGGACAAATTTTGACACGATAGCTATAATCTATGTGTAAACTGATCACGGAGGGGGTATGGTGGCTTAAAAGTGGGTCAAAAAGTAATATATGAACGACCCGTTGTTACAAGATAAACGATTTAAAATAAATCGGATCAAAATAAGTTAATCCCCAATTATTGTGATACTTTTCATTTCAATAACAACCATTATGATTATAACAATGTGCATGTTTCTGTCCAACCAATTTTAGAATATTATTTGGAACGCTGACATTCAATTTTAATCAAATGCTATTTCTTGAGAAATGGGAGCATTTTCTACAAAGAAGGGTCGAGAGACTGTCTGATTGGTATTGATCAGGAAGTGTCTACAAAAAACAACCTAGATACTAGATGACGTCATTTGAGATCTACATGGTTCTAATACACTTTAAGTAGAAATATGCCTGCGCGCGCGTCGCGTGGCCGCCGGCCGGCCGGGCCGGTACGTGTAATTACGTAACTTGCGCAAAAAGAGAGGTCCTTTCGTTATATTTCAAAGGTATGTCGGCAGCGCGTTCCAAATAATATTCCACAACTACAATAAAAATTGCGTAATTTATTTTGGCTTTTATACATCATATTACATAGTCAAATCACATTTTAAACACCTGAAGAATACAATCAATCAAATTATCAACGAAATAAAACTGAAAACTGTAATAATTATCTCAGCAGAGCAGACACGACACTTTTCACATTCAGAGACTTCAAATCAGGATACTGCTGTCCCGTTCCAACAAATATTATCGGCTGTCCTGTTATGTAAGTCATGGAGATAGCGGCTCCAACCTGAGGATAAACAGGGAGATAAGTGGATCTAGTCACACTAGTTTAGTTTTGCTAAGTTATTTCTTATTACTGTATCTGATGATTCAACAGTAAAACACGATAGCTTGTAATTGGGAACTCTTAAATGTTAATTAAATATTAATTAGTTGTTAATTAATTATATACATTATGTATGATTGAATTATCAGAGCGATAACTTACTTTATCATCAATACAATCAAATTTAGTGAGAAGGATACCGTCGATAACGGACTTAGTCCCAGCCAATGCAGTAGAAGAGTGATCAATGAGGGACTGGTTGAACTTGACAAGCTGGTCAACCTGATAATAAATACATATTTAAAGGATATCAAACATGAATCAAACTATGGGGCCTCACATATTTTACAATGTTTACACAAGAAACAAGATAAGTATGTTCATGAAGAAACAAGATAAGAATGTTCATGAAGAAACAAGATAAGAATGTTCATGAAGAAACAAGATAAGAAGATGTCAGCACTCACAGCCTCATTCCCCACAAGCGCTTCTCCAACAAACAGAGTAAGATCAGGTGTGTTAAGAGCCACTAGTTTACTAAGTGCTCTCATCAGGGGTTCGTTATCCTGCATACGCCCAGCTGTATCTACCAGGACCACATCGTAACGCCGCTCATTGGCGTACTTTATAGCTTCAAACGCTAGACCTGCATATTGTTACATTTGTGTTTGTGGTTTAAGGGGGGGGTTCACCCTGATTTTTTTGTGAAACTTAGTTTCGAGATAGCAGTTGACCAACAAACTAGGACCGGTGACCGAACTTTTGAGGGGGTCCCGGACCCCAACCGCCAAACGGTGCCCGCGGGGCAGCCACGCCCATATTTGGTCCAAATTAGGCCCAATTTAGCCAAATACCCTGAACATGCCCAAATCCCAGATTTTAGGTGCTCTACTTGTAGCTAGTGGTCCCCTGAACTCGTATATAAATTTTCATCAAGATTGGACAAAAAATGACTGAGTTATGAGCCAAAAACCATATGACCATATTTGGGCATACGCACCAAATTTGCCGGGCATTTTTCAGAATTTGGCCGCCAAATTTTTTTAAAGGCCTAACTCAAAATTTTAATACAAAACTTAAGGTCATGAGGCGATTCTACGTCGATTCTGAAAATTTCATGAAAAAATATTGAAACCCTATTGAGTTCTATTGTTTTGAACGAAATCAGTTTTGCAAATATCGCGAACTGAGATATGGGCGATTTTGTTCATTTTTTGCAACTGTTTGAACACAGAATCCACAGTTAGGTAGATATTGAGCTGATAATCATAGAGAATGTGTAGTATAGGCTTACCTTCCATATAAAGTTGGTTTCATTCAAAAATATTGATATTTGACCAATTTATGGGCCAAAATCGATCAAATTTGGTGCGTATGCCCAAATATGGTCATATGGTTTTTGGCTCATAACTCAGTCATTTTTTGTCCAATCTTGATGAAAATTCATATACGAGTTCAGGGGACCACTAGCTACAAGTGAAGCACCTAAAATCTGGGATTTGGGCGTGTTCAGGGTATTTGGCTAAATTGGGCCTAATTTGGACCAAATATGGGCGTGGCTGCCCCGCGGGCACCGTTTGGCGGTTGGGGTCCGGGACCCCCTCAAAAGTTCGGTCACCTGTCCTAGTTTGTTGGTCAACTGCTATCTCGAAACCAAGTTTCACAAAAAATTCAGGGTGAACCCCCCGCCTTAAGTGAACGAAGTGGCTCTACAGGTCTTATAGGGAATTTAATGTAAAATTGAGTTGTTCAAGGGAGTTGCAGTTCTTTCAAATATATTGCTATAACATATGGATTTGGGGCGCAGAACTCGGCCAGGACCGGTTCCAAACACAATGATATAGATTATCCAGTGCAATTAGTTAAATTATAAAACCTGCCGGATCCTTGCCGTATCCTCGTTCGTAGAGTTGGACCTGGTCCTCCGAGTATAAGTTAGCAAGTCTTACCACGTGGGTGCGCAGCTGCTCGACAGCACCTGGTATGTAACATGTCAGTCACGTGATTCCCTTATATATGGTAATGGGTAGGCTATCCACTCCGATAATCGTTACCGATAATTATCTCCGATAATTCGTTAAAAAAGGTTATCTGTTTATCTAGATAAAACATATTTTTATCGGTATAAAAATTCACTAGAATTACCGAAAAAACTGCCACAATACCGTAAAATTTTAAAGAAATATTAGTGTTTTTTGCCTTCCCAAGTAATCCAAGAAACAGTCCCAAACGTTTTATAGTATGATAGAAGAGGTAGTTTACTTAAATGTGAGCTTAAGAGGTTTATTTACATTTGTATACCTATGGAACTGTAGAACTGTAGAACTGTAGAAGTCTAGAGAAAGTTATTGACATTGTTATCTTGAGGCTAGGGTGCTGGCGTTCTACCTTACAACCATTCTGGAGACAGGAACGAGCATGTTACTGTTAACAAGAGTCAAAAATACCGGCAGGCGGCAGGGCACTCAATTAAATTCCGTAAGTGTTCTAGGCGTGAAACATTGTCTTCAGGAGAAGGAATCTGTTGCTCCAAGTTATCCACAGGATAAGGAAACGGTTCACTGAATCACTTTAAATGTTTTACTGTTTCGAGGAGAATTGGTATTTGTTGCACTACTGTTCTCAGGAGAAGGAAACCGGTGGTCTAATGTTTTGAAGAGAACTGGTGCACTACTGTTCTCAGGAGAAGGAAACCGGTGGTCTACTGTTTTGAAGAGAACTGGTGCACTACTGTTCTCAGGAGAAGGAAACCGGTGGTCTAATGTTTTGAAGAGAACTGGTGCACTACTGTTCTCAGGAGAAGGAAACCGGTGATCTACTGTTTTGAAGAGAACTAGTGCGTTACTGTTCTCAGGAGAAGGAAACCGGTGGTCTACTGTTTTGAAGAGAACTAGTGCGTTACTGTTCTCAGGAGAAGGAAACCCTTGGTCTACTGTTTTGAAAAGAACTGGTGCACTACTGTTCTCAGGAGAAGGAAACCGGTGGTCTACTGTTTTGAAGAGAACTAGTGCGTTACTGTTCTCAGGAGAAGGAAACCGGTGGTCTAATGTTTTGAAGAGAACTAGTGCGTTACTGTTCTCAGGAGAAGGATACCAGTGGTCTACTGTTTTGAAGAGAACTGTTGCACTACTGTTTTCAGGAGAAGGGAACCGGTGGTCTACTGTTTTGAAGAGAACTAGTGCGTTACTGTTCTCAGGAGAAGGAAACCGGTGGTCTACTGTTTTGAAGAGAACTAGTGCGTTACTGTTCTCAGGAGAAGGAAACCCTTGGTCTACTGTTTTGAAGAGAACTGGTACACTACTGTTTTTAGGAGAAGGAAACCGGTGATCTACTGTTTTGAAGAGAACTGGTACACTACTGTTCTTAGGAGAAGACAAACCGTTGGTCTACTGTTTTGAAGAGAACTGGTACACTATTGTTCCCCGGAGAAGAAAACTGATGCTCTAATATTTTCAAAAGAAAGGAAGTTGTACTTTAGCAAGATTACTGGTAAACAGTAATAAAAGTCGACAATCAGTTTTTGTGAAATTTGGAAAACATTTTGGCTTTGGCCTTCAGCAGAAAAATTATCGGTTTTATCGGTTTTATCTAGATAAAACCTAAATTTTTATCTGTTTATCTAGATAAAAGATTTCATACCGATAATGGATAGCCTAGTAATGGGATATTCTGATGATCACAAACAAACGTGTACGTACGAGGCCGGTAGTTACCTTATATGGTAGTGTCACCACAGGAACACTACCATATAAGGTAATGTAGTTAGTCTTATTATATGTTGTTTGTTATTGCCTCTCTGCAGTTTTTCACAGAGCTGTTGTCACACGTATTGCCTTAGAAAATTATGCCGTATGATTATCATACATATGATATAGATGATTAAAAGATAAAAAAACAAATTACCGGCTCTGAAAGTATCTCCCCCGACCACTAGAACTCTGTAGCCGTTATCCAGTAACCAGAAACACACTTTAGCCAGGTTAGTGCTCTTACCCACCCCGTTTACTCCGCAGAACGTTATCACGTACGGGCGGCCCTTACTTTTAGCCTCCATTACGTCACGCAACACGTTTACACGATGTTTGGGAGATAAAATCTGAGGGAGATGTTAATTTAGGACAATAAGAGAACACTCGCGTGTTTTTAATACTGATACAATAACTCAACACCTTAACCAAACTTTAATCTAGACTATTTTTAACAAGGCAAGTTAATTATCTTGATTAACTGGCTCGTGCTAGTAACCTTAGTAAGTGCGTCACTAAGAGCCTGTTTAGCAGTAGAAGTAAGTCCAGTAAACGTACTGTAACTCTTCCCAACCAGACTACTTTCCAGTGTATCACACAACTGGATAGAGATCTCCGCAGCCACATTCTTTGATGTCAGGTGTTCTTTTAGCTTCTCCAGTACTGGACACACATACTTGTTAGTCAATATAAATACAATGGTTCTTTGGTGAAAGGAATGTAAATTGTTGGTCAGTGATTCATGAATGAAAATTCGTTAAAATTAGGTTCAAAATTGTGCCATCTTAGTTTCAATATTAAATTTAACCTGGTTCAAGAGATTCGCTGGTTACGGTTTGTTGGGTAGAGAAGTTGATGTTTTTTAAGAAGGAGAACATTCCAGATGATTTACCAGAAGGTCCATTGCTCACTGAGTTGTCAACAACTTCCTGGAATTATTCATTGAAAACAAACAAACAAACAAACAAACAAACAAACAAACAAACAAACAAACAAACAAACAAACAAACAAACAAACAAACAAACAAACAAACAAACAAACAAACAAACAAATAAGCAAGCAAGCAAGCAAGCAAGCAAGCAAGCAAACAAACAAACAAACAAACAAACAAACAAACAAACAAACAAACAAACAAACAAACAAACAAACAAACAAACAAACAAACAAACAAACAAACAAACAAACAAACAAACAAACAAACAAAACAAACAAACAAACAAACAAACAAACAAACAAACAAACAAACAAACAAACAAACAAACAAACAAACAAGTGAAACAAACCTCATCCTCTTCATCCTCACTCTCACTCCAGTCGTCTCCCACTCCATTCAGATCTCCTGACATGGTACCCTTTAAGTGAGACTCATCTTTTAAGTTGGCACTCTGTATTCCGTTCTGGGGCTCTGAGCTGAAGTCTATCCCCTCAGTGCTTTTCCCTCCCATATCCCAGGAACGGGCTTCTTTTCCTTTCTTTCCTTTCTTAGGAACTTTCACTGGTGGTGCAGCTGGCTGAAGGAAGTAGTGAGGTTAATTTTCAGTCGCTAAGTATTTAACTATTTCACCATGTGAGTCCCAAAGCACCTTAGCTGATGGGTTGCTGATTAACAAGCCCAAAAGGTACTACATAAGTCGAACTTCATTTACTACTGATATCACTTTTTCTGCTTAGATATAATAACTACGTACACAACTATTTATCAAAACAAACCTCCTCTGGTTTTTTCTTTCCCTTCTTAGCTGCTTTCTTCTTCTTCATATTCTCTCTTGCTATTTCCACGTCAGTCTTTGGTTTCTCAGCAGGAGGCTCTGAACTGGCTGTTCCCATCACAGCAGTCGCCAGACGCGCCGCCGTACTCGCTACACTCTTATCCTGAGAGAGAGTTGTTACTATACATTTAGAGAGAAGGATATCAGTGATCTCGGAGTTTGAAATCGTTGGCGTTATTAACTAAATAAGATTTGTTATTTAAAGTTATAATCGTTTATGAGCAGCACGGTGCATCAGGTGACACACTTTAAGTGCGTGTAACACCTGGTTCCGAAACTATTCATATGATCAGAGGTGTAACCTTAAGTTTTATTTACAAAAATCGGTTTGTAAACGTGCGAAATATTCCACTATCAACACCTGCTAGATGCAAATAAAATAAACTTTATCATACGACTCATGCCATGAGGATATATATGATGAGGACATAATATGTTGCTCGAATTCTATTTTTATTTTCCTAGATCCTAGATACTAATATTACAACTAAAAGATCATTTTATCATATTATTTTTGTTAGCTCCCATATTATTACCTTACGAGAGTTGAAAATAGTGTGTAGAAAGTAAATGGCTCTAATTTTTTTGACAAATGAAATTTCCACTTAATTTTTGCATATTTAGGTAATGAAAATATTTAAATATTATAATAATGCAATAAAAATACTTAATAAGTATTAATTTGCTCAACCCATTGTCCTTTATTGTTGATAGGACATGTTGATAACGTGTAAGACAATTGTCTATAGCCGACTTGACTGTATTAAGGGGGCGGGGGGGGGGTCTTCGTGGAAATGTTCTCAAAATCGACTTTTTAGTTGTTTCTGATAGAGGGGAGTAATATCTATCAGATGCTTTTGATCCCGTGGAAAAATATCGTTCCTAGCCGAAATTAATGCCGGTCAAAGGTCAGCGCGTGCACGTGTTGGTAATTGTATTGCGCGAGCGATTTTTGATCGCGTGCCCTGAAAATAGAGTCTAAAAATCTATCTTCTCCTACATTTTTTGAGAAATCACCCTGAAACTTTCAGGATTTGTTCTAGGGATCATTTAGAAGAGATGAGCCCGACAACATTTTGAGATAGGCCTTTAAACATTTTTTATTCGATTTTTAAAATCTTGGACCTCGTTTTTTGATGGTTTTTCAAGGTCCACGATTTTCAAAATCGAATAAAAATTTTTTAAAGGCCTCTCTTAAAATTCTGTCCGGCTCATATCTTCTAAATGATCCCTCAAACATATCCTGAAAGTTTCAGGGTGATTGCTCAAAAAATGTAGAAGAAGATAGATTTTTAGACTCGATTTTCAGGGCACGCGATTTGAGAACCCCATTAGGACGAATTTACGAATTTTTGGAAAACTGCCAAAAATCAACCAAATTATGAGTTAGAATCAAATGAGAGGCAAGAATGAAATTTGTAACGTTTATGAACTGATAGCAATTCACCTTTAAAAATTTGCTCCTTCATAAAAAAAATTATCGATTTTTATATTCTACACACTATTTTCAACTCACCCTGTATATATGTTCGACATAATTCCGGTGACCTAAATGATTTGGGAACGAAAATATGGGAATTTTTTCCGAAAACCGCCTCAATTCGTACTTCAAATTTAATCATGGTATTTGGGGAGTTTTGTCATCTCCTTATTTTACAAAATTGAAACCTAATATTTGAGAAAATTAAATACAAAGATTTTCTCTGATCAGCTGTTTCATCTTGTAAACGATTTCTCCTGAGCCTTTGAAAGTTAGCCTCAACTTAACTTATAATCCTCCAGAGGGTATAGGAGACCGACAGTGTTTGTTTATCTTCCACTAATCCCGAAATTTCACCGCCGTGGCCAATATAGTAGTGACAGAGCTTGCTTATTTTTAATGGAACGTGTCCAAAATCATTTTTAAAGCATGATCGAATACTAGTGTTCATTAATTGTTTGATGAACCATATTTATAACTTAGTATATTGATAAGTTGAGAGCAAATAGATAAAGTCATAATCAAGGAAAATACGTGAAAAATTATTTGGGGAACATAATGGTGGCCTAAATTTTGGTAGTCCGAAAATATGTTTTTTTCGAAAAACCACCGATTTTCGTACCTTTTAAATATGTCTCATAAGTTATTCAACCTCCGTATTATTCATTCCTCTTTTTACGAGTATTTTGCTCACTGCACGTGTACTTACCTCCATATCCCTCCCTTACAGCGTTTCATATTGTTAAGGAAGCTAGGAACTGTATTTCAGCGTTTTTAATGGATTTAATTTTCCTTAGTACAACTTGAGGGGAACATTATCCCCTTTTTTTCAATAACCCCTCCCGCAAATACTGTATATAAAGACAAGTAAAAACTCACATTATTATTATTATTAAATTAATTGAAGTTATAAGTTACACTTGATAGTATGGTCTCAAAGCAGGAAGGACACATCTTCTGAGCATGTTAGGGTCGTCCCTGAACTTTAAGTGACTAATGCCAGGGTAGACACACTTCACTAGATCTCCTCTCTCTGCCAAAGTCCTCAGCCCAAACAAATCCTCAACAAAGAGTCGAGATTCTTCCATCGGGATCATTCCTTTGTCGAATCCGTCCTTTGTGTAGTACCCGAATATTGTGGATTGCCAGGGGTCAATCATGTTCTCACCTGGTCCTCCAATTAAAACAAACAAGTTGGACAATTTCAGAAAGTTTTTCTTTCTTAACTCTTTTTCAGCGGGAGTCCCAGCCTCATTATTAAGTTCAGGGAAAAACTTGTTTCCTTTCAGGTAGAGGTCGTAATGCGTCGGGTCCAGGTAAATGTTGAAGAAACTCACTGCTTGACCAACGTTGGAGTATCCAATCTCGTAGACTTTGTCACTGCGAAAGATTTTATCCACCCAATGCAACATCTTGAACATAGCCAAACCTGGAGGAGTCCCGTAAAAACCGTGTTGAGGAGATGCTAGAGAGATGAAGAGGACCACATTGTGATCCTCCCACATTTCTATCATGGTGCGCCAAATAATACCTCCCTGTGAATAGCCCACTGCAATGATCTGGTCGTATTGGGACGCGATTTCTTTTACATCCTTCAATATGTCCTCTGCTTGGTATTTGATGGGGGTAATGCTGGAAATATGGTTAAAAGCGTTGATCAGACGCACTGGGATCCCAGTCTCCCTTTAAATAAACTGTTTGAATCCAAAATGCTGCTTGTAGCTTTCCAATACTCCATGCATGTGTAGTATACCGACTTTTGAACCAAGGACCTGGCCTAAGACGACTGCGAAAAACAATGAACGAAACATTTTTAAAAGTTTCTGGAAACAAGTTGTGACTTATAGTAATACAGCTCACAAACAGATGTTTGGCACAAAAGTGTGAATAATATTATCACAGGTTTAGGACAATAGTTCAGACTAAAGACTACAAGTTTACTGAACATAGGCCTGAAAGGTTTATCGAACACAATAGAACAGCTGTATACCAGACAGGAGAGATAACGTGTTACTCGGTCCCACAGATTCTTATAAAAATCTAGAGTACAGCTTGGGTATTATATATAATAAAAAAGTATAAGTTATATTGTCGGGATTAATTTTTTAAAGTAAAATGAAAATATAACTTAAATTCTGCATACCTGTTCAAACATGGCTTTGTTGGCAGTTGCTGTCTTTTCGAACTTCTTTGACTGAGTGAACTGCTTCATAGCACGTGGAGCTGACTTCTCTACTCTATGTTCCCCCTCTATCTTGCTTAGGATCCCACTGAAATCTGACAAAAATAGGTTTCAAATTTGCATACCATAGTTATCAAGTCAATCTACGAAAGTGACTACAGTTTGGAATTGAAAGTTAGAAACACGATTGAATATTAATAAGTCGCTTGACTGTAACAACTCTTCTGTTAATCTGAGTAGCACATTGTTTCTACATAGCACCAAGGTGCTGGAACCACCACAATGTGGATACTGCTGGGGGCCGGGGGAGGCATATTTTTCAGTGATCCTGTCAATAGTGGAAGCTGATTGGTATTTGGATTGTTCCTGTCACGTGCCAAAACATATGCCTCACCGGCCCACCAGAATCTATAAATAACAAGAGTTATTAATAATAATCACCAGAGTCGAAGTTACAGCCGTTGAGCCACAGGGTGCCGTCTCTCAGCTCGTTCTTATACTTATCTCTGAACTCCAGATGGATAGAGTCGATCAGTTTGTCTGAAATATCATCATATTTTTAGTTAGTTAGATATGATTAGGTTTTTATTACATAGTAAATGCAGTTGCAGTACTATCAGAATTTGTTTGTGGAAATTTCCTTAACCCAGATCAAAGCGGAGGTATAATGGAATTTAAAGACAATCCCCAAACCTTACAGAGTAACACGTGACAAGGTTAACAAAATGGGACTCACCAAGATAAGAGAGTTGGAGCATCTTCTGAACAACAACGGCAAACACAAGTTCAAACTCGTTATCCAGTTTCAGTTGGATTGTTAGGTTCTTGTGGTTGTGCTGGTTGCTGGGGCTGCCCTGAACACAACGACACATTGTTATGTTATCGCCTTGTTGGACGTTTATTCAAGAAAATAATATTTATTCAGTCAAGATGTTAAAATTTAAATATGAGCAAGTTTTATTATTTTAAAGTACTTAGTATTACAAGCTATTTGCGTTCATTTGTTATTTAATCTGACCTTTTTTAACTACTTGTAATTTTAAACAGTTTTGAACTAACAAAACACAGTTTTTAATGGAAAGAGTTGTAAACGTACTCCGTACCTGTATAAGTATGTTTTTGATGGACTCATTAACTGCATGAGTTGAGGAGATGAGCTGGGTACAGGCTCCTTGGAAACAGAATAGGACGATACCACCCTTGGTAAAGATAGAAAATAGCTCCAACATTCTATAAATATTATTCTTTAGATATTGGTAACATGGTAGAACTATACCGGCCTTGGTAAAGAAAATATTTCCATCTATCTGAATTATTTTGAGCTGAGGCTTTTTTCAAATTAATTATATATTTAAATAGATTATAGCTAAGTTACTCTTATATTATAGCTAAGTTACTCCAGATAACTAACTTTGTTTTGCAATAATTTATGTGTTACTTTATGTATGCTTTAACATATTTGATAAAATGAAATCTAACTGACAATGTTACTTCAAACATAAAATTGTATAAATAATTAAACGTAAAATGAGGTTAAAAAGTAGTAAAATAAATATAAAAACACAATATGTGACTATTTCTGTGTGAAACCAGAGTAGTTTTATGACGTGACGTGAGATCAATCGCATGACAAAATTAGCTGCTCTTATTTACTGCTTCCAATTTCTTCCTGACCAAAGCAGTAATTTCTTGAAACTGATCTTCTTCAAAAGCATTTATCTTGAGGGTATTGATTATCTGTGTCTCTGTGATGGTTTGAAATAAGTCCAAGTCGTGTAGTAAAATATGACCACTTATCTCACACACTGCCGGTTTGAAAAGTAGCTCATCAGCAGGAAGCTGAAATGGGTACTGGTGAGACAAGTAATTAGTGAAGTAATTAGATTTAAGACAGTACTTTAAAAGAGAATTAGACATACGTTCCCATTTTTTGTAAGCTGATACTTTTCTGTTCAATCCTGCACATGAGCCTCCTTGTTATAAATTATCAGAGGCAGGACGTAAAGTTGTACAAATCAAAGTAACGTCATTAAATAATTAAATTAAATTAGATAATTGCTGCGTTTATCTAAGAGATAAACCTGGTCTGATGGTTTGACAGGCCACAAACAAACTCGAAGGACAGGTTCTGGAACTATGGTTGGATTTGTGTGAACAGCGCAGGGGTCCCCATATGTTATCATCATATTGTGGGGTATATCCTGGTCTTGTAGTACTTCTACTGCCGTAAACACGCTCTGATAGGTGTACTGTTTCAGAAGTAAATTAACAAAATATGAAGATTTATAAACATAACAGCTTAATAACATCAGCCTAGAAATTAACAAAACAAAGAGATAAAGTGAGAAATCCAACCTTAGCAAGTGAAACAGTATCAGTCTGAAGCTGAAACACGAACCCAGGTACGGGGTAAGTTGTTAGTTTATAACAACAATCCACTAAGTGTACAACTGGTGCACTTTCTATTGGCAGACTAGCACTGCACCTGTGTAAACAGTGTTAGTTATCCTAGATTAACATGGCTTCAATCAAAACACTAGCACATTTAAAGGAAAATGAAATCAGGTACCAAGGTAGTTTTACCTTTATCAAGTATTTAATAAAAAAAATATCAAGAATCAATAGTTCCCACAGTCAGACAACGAATGAGTTTAAAAATTCCAACAAAATCTTTATAACATCATTGGTAAAACATTTTCGGACATCTTCAGTACCTAATAAAGATAAGGGTTAATACTCCAATTATATCAGAAAATTTTTAATTTGAACTAAAGGATGTTAGCTGTAAAAAGAAGCCAAACTCTCAAAAATGGAATGGGAAGCACTCGGGTATGGGGGGTTGTGAGGCCCCAACTAGTCGGAAAAAATATACTAGTCCCTGCATTAAGGGTGAAATAATTTAAGGACCATTATCAAAAGTTTTATTTTCGAATAAAAGTGGCATACCAAAAGGATCACATGAATTAATACCATATGGTTTCAAGGTTCTGAGTTTTTGTATAAGTAGATGTTCGTTAACTTCTAAATTACTAGGACTAGAATTCTTTAGGATAAAAACATTATAAGAAGCATCAAAATCAGGTCTATTGGAAAGGTTATGTGAGTCTATTAATAAAAAAAATACACATAATATTGTGAACAAGAAATGTGGCCGCTTTTCTTTTGTGGACGGCCGCTCAATTTCCCGATCCGTGATTGCGTATTTATCATATTCCATACAACCTGGGGACCCCAGGCTTTACTGTTTATAAGCATGCAGATATGGCGGAGTGACAGGCCGAGCGTCGCCCAGTTAATTCCATATTGATTTTGAAAATACCGTATATTTCTATGCAACCCTATGTTTATTGTTTATGCAATATAACGTACGACGACGGGCGACGGACACAAGCTACCATATACAAAATCTTTCGCTAACCCTTGTCCTTAAATCTTTTGTGCCTTCGCTACTTGAGACATGGGTTGGGAAAAATGGGTGAATACTAAATTTGTATTGTTATTTCAGTCTGTGGCAAAAGGAAGTACTTAGCTAATAAACTCACTCACTTGTAAGCATGGAGATGAAGATGATTGATGGACGCAAATGCTCGTAAACTGTTGAAAACTACTCGTAGATCTGGATCACCACAGCTAACAGAAAATGACAGTCCCAGCTCGACTGCACCGAGAGTTAACCTCTGGAAGTAATTTACATGACTAATCACATTATGATTATTATAATTTGGTATTAATAGAGTCAATTATCCAAATTTGGAAAATTTAATTTGTTCACGATCCGTAATATAACCTAGTAATATAAGTATCTAAGTAGCAAAAGGATATTCCTGATATATTTAGTAAGCCAATAAAACTGGTTATTTAAGATACCTTAATATTATCTGTACCTGGTTTAAGCATTTTTCAGGTGATGGTAGAAGAAGAATGTGACTCTCCGATAACGGGCTTGCATTAACAGCAACTAAGGATGAACCACTGTCCATAGAGAAACTTACACAATCTGCATCATCCGACAGAGAAACTTCTAGCAAGATCTGAAAAACAATTAAATGTACAGAATAGCAATTTATAATATATATTATAGTTATACTCTCCAACCAAATTGAGAATTATTAATATTAATGTATATCCATAGATTCAGCAATTATAGACAGTTAAAAATAAATTTAAAATGCAAATCAACCCTGACAAAAAGATTTATTCATTGTAGTAAGGATTCTAAAGCAAGGGCCATGGCAAGAATAAAGTAAGTTGTGGTTTCCAAAATAAAACTTATTAAATTCGTGTCCATACCTCTGAATCATTAAGCTTGTTGAAGTTAAATAAACTGTCGTTGAAGAGTTGATTGCAAGAAGACACTGAGTGGGCAGCTCTCTTCTTTGAAAATCTATGTTCATTGTAATCTGCACAGAATTGACATTGGCCAGGGATACTCCGCAAGCAAGATTCTGATAACTCGTATCTAAAAACATTTTCTGACTTGCTTTTACTCCATAAAGAATCGACTAAACCATTAATTAGTGTCTGAGAGACTTTTACTTTATCTGGAGTCAAATGACGAGGGAGAGTCACACATGCTCTCTTCATACTGAAATAATTATAAAGTTATCAGAAATATTATATCTTTTCTTCAACAACGGTAGTTGTCTAGCCATTTGAGGATAGACACCCTTGAAATTGAATAAACCAATACAATAGATTATATATTTTCTCAAAACTAATTGTCTTTTCGCATTGCTTATTGACATCAGGGACAAAAGGAAATCGCGGCATGTACGGAATCGAGATTTTCCCATTATTTGCGACAAATTTTATGAGTAGTTTAATGTTACATAGTCTGTTAAAAATCGCAGTATTGCGTGGTCCAATGGTCGCTTTTATGGACTTGTAATCAAACGATGGCCTCTTTGAGAGTTGAGACCTGCTTCTTCAGTAGAGCCTAGGTCTGGTAGCGTTAGATAAGTACAACTGACAGCAATACCATGCATTCAGTATTCATAAAATAACTACAAAAAATTTTTGAACAATATACAGATAATTTCAGCAATGGTAATTGTCTAGCTATAGAGAATTTAAATTTAGAGAATACAAACTTTAATTTTGATCTTTGTTACAGATTATACATATCATAGATAACCATAAAAGCCGCGCGTCGGCTGATTGCCTCAACTTGGATTAATAGTAATTTCAGTTGACAGAAGCTGAAGGATGGCCGTTCTAAAGGCCCAGTGCACCATCGAAAAGATCATGCAAGGATAAACACCCTCAAAAATGAATAAACCAATACAATAGAAATTCTACAAAAATTGTACAAATTTAAAAAACCGGGGTTAAAAATAAAACCCTTTGAGATATATAAATGGTCAACTGAAAATAAATGATTTTACTTGGAGAAGTTATCTTTTGACTTTGATTGACGATGTCAATCCTTCGCATCTCGCCGATCATCTCTGTGGTTGCGAGAAGCATTATTTGATGCGCGCGCGACCCAGTAGTGCATCGCGCTACAACTTTTGACTCTTAAGGTTGCGAACAAAATGAAGAAGCAGACTTTAGGCTAGAAACTTTATTGAATTGAAAAAATCATTCCACGTAACTACGTCTTCTTCAGTTCTCAAATTATTTGTTATATAGTAGTGTTGAAAGTATTAATACTTTCTAGCCTAAAGTCTGCTTCTTCATAATTGCTGTGTTGTATATAGTAGCTGTGATAATATCAAACTAAATCCAAAATCATATGAAGCAGTAGATCTAAAGATTTTAAAGATATCAAAAACAAGTGATGATTCGACAGGTTGTATATGTTGCGCTCGATTTTGTACAACAGGGTATAGATCGGTTAAAATACGAATTTATAAACATTAAAAAAGTAAACATCATTTTTAAACATACGATACACACAAAAAAAAAGCAACATATGTGCATACATATAATAAATTTGCAGCAACATTAGCAGAAAGTCTTAACGGATGTTACTCGTCTAAATTTCTTCGAAGTAGCCCGCGCCGCTTTCTTCTCCCGACCATTAACAATGGTCAACAGAAAAGTCTGGTTTCGCACTTATATTACTAAAAATTTAATTGCTCAATGTGCCGCCAGCTGCAATTTTGTTAAATTATAATTGTATGTCCATCATGCATGTAGCAATAATAAACTTATAAGCTTCGATGAAAAACTTTTGTTAGACCTTGTAGGTTTACAACCTACCAGGACGCGCGCCGAGTTGGACTCGTCGACGGATACTTTCAACACTACTATATAACAAATAATTTGAGGAGAAAAGTGAGGGAAAGATGATAGTTTGGCCAGTAATACTTGTATAAGTCGCCAATGCACAATCTAAAGTTTGTGGACCTCAGTTATATTAAGCCTTTCACTTGTTAATATGGAACACATATTTTATTTTTACGAGTATCACCCGTTAAGTTAGACCCTGGAGCTTAGAATTAAATAGTTAAAAAAGTTAAGCTGTGGTCTTGCCCCATGAAAACAAAAATAACTACACAGGGACACTGAATCAGGAAAATCGAAGTATTGAGTATAGTACAAAAGCAAAGTGTCAATTCAATGACAATTATATTTGAAATATTTGTTCATATGTGATAATGTGATATTTATGTATATTGTAAAATTTATTAAGCGGTGCCCAGCTTGTCATTTTGCACCATATCTTTGATTCTTTAATCATTTATGAACATTAAGCCTGGTTTTTCAGGTCATGTATAATATGATTTTAAAAAATTTATTGAATTAGGTATTATTGAATAAATTTGAAGGGAATCCAGAATCCGCATTTGACTAATGTGTGCCGCGCGCGCATTTATTGAATTTATTTTATCAAAACAGTTTAAGAATCAAGCGCCTATCGCTCGAGCAGGTGGTACGTAGGTTTGATATCAGTTACTCGTTGTTCCAAAAGTTTAGTTGATGATAATAATTTAGATCCATTCAGTCGAACAGGCATCGATCGGCTACTGTTTCATGTTTGGAGCCTTCAATTTGAAAGGTTTGGGTTTTCTAAGTATAAGTTTCCTTTGTACTTTGTGTAGGACATGGTGGCAACTATCGGGAAAAGATGTGTGTATAGTTTGCAACGCCGCAAAGTAATGGTAGGAAGTGATAATATTAAGGGACACAGAATGTTCCAGAGATAGGACTTTCAGAAAAGTTACAGAGGAATTTGTTTCCCTTTGAATCAATCAAACTAGATGAATTGTTGTAAATACTGAGATCAAACTATCAATCTACAGGCTATCGTCAAACATGTTGCAAGGCGTCATCTTCAGTGACATAAGCCCTAGAAATTGTAAAAAGTTAGTAAAACCCAAAATTCCTTTAAAAATCTGAACACTCTTAAAACGGTTATAAAGTTAAAATTAAGATGTTAAGAAAAGTTAACCCTTCGTATGTTTTTGATCCGCATGAAGAATCCATAGATTTTCTTTCTTAGCATGACCTGACACACTATGTCGAAGACTTCTCTTTCGGATGTCCGGATGGAACATGACTCTCAGGATATTAAATGTTTTAGAATCCCTTGCCTGAACTAAACTCCTCATGGACATCGACCTACTGCTTAGCAGCGGGGTAGCCTGCTTTGTAGCATCTTGTGTCCAAACTCCTCAGCTGTTTGCCAGAACTTTCTCACTGGTGATCCTAGTGATATCTGTGTTCTATGTGAGACTGGTTCTTGTACGGAACAAGAAGCATGCAATACCAGGTTGATATCTTAGAAATTTTCAAGTACTTTACTTTTTCTGGTTTTGATGAAATTACAGACTTGACGCCATGTCAGCATATAGAATTATATAGTTATATATGGCATAATGGCACTGTTTCATTGTCTATCAGTTGATAATTCTAACACTGTTAATTAAATTCGTGTAGAAACAGTAGAGTACATCATCTTATCATTATGCTGTGTCCTAAAATATATATATCGAGTTCCAGAAGAATCTAACTGCTATCAAAATTGGAAATTTTATCATTGCAACCAGAGCCTTGTTTTAGGGGAAACACGCCGGGTCCTTCGGACCTGGCATGTTTCTTTCTGTGTCTTGATTAAGTTACATCAATCAGTGACGATGTGAGTTGAGGTGAAGCGTGAACAATGGACATTGACATTTGTAACATTAACAAATGTTTCCTCCCCCTGCCATTTAAAGCTTATTGAAACCTCTTTACGTAGAATTTTGGTAATCCCATCCAAGTATAATATTCTCCCACATTAAAACTATTATTTTTCAGCCCGGAAGTGTTTGTTATCAGGAAAATACCCTCCCACAAACCTCCCTGCCACTAACTCCCCTGTCACCACGCAGAAAGTAGACTCCCTTATCACTGAGGTACGGTAGAGTTTTTAGTTTTTCCAGCGATTCTGAGATGTGTAATTTGTGAGATTAGTTAAATTTGAATGTTAAGTTATAGTCAGGAATACCGAATATTATTGATGAGCTGGATGTACGATAGTTTTAAAAGTTTATGATTATGTACAAAGTAGCTTATTTTGAACATGAATAATTTTAAATATTATTGCCTCAGTTTAAAGATCCGCTTGGACATCAGAAACTTCTCAATATCTATTGTCGATATGGGAGGGATACAAACAGGCTCATTTATTCAAAGTTTCCATCAGGTAATATCATTATCCCTGCGAGACTTTGTGTTCTCATGGTTCTCCCCTCCGATGGTTACCAAGACCCAGAAAGTAAGTGACATAGCTACCAGTCTCTCCTGGCAAATCGTCTATCTTACTCAACGCAAACTCAACGAGGTGAGTTTACCATTTGTCTGGTTACTATGGTTACTATGGTTACTATGGTTACTATGGTTACTATGGTTACTATGGTTACTATGGTTGCTAGTTCGGTAGAAACATTTTCTCATCCACTTAAAATAAAGAATCACTTTTTCAAACTGTACACTAAGCATGGACCAAAAGTGGGAAAAGGTTGCAAAATTTCACAATGTGCGAGGTCTCCAATATGGTATATAAGAGTTAAAATGAATTTGTTCTTACATACAGGGATACAGTGGTTTTGGGAAGATGATTGGGGGCATTGTGTCCTCCAATACAAGGTTTGTCTCGCAAACAGTGGGGGGCTACTGATACATTTTATAAAAGTAGCTTTTAAAAAGTGACTAGAGAGGTTTTTTGGCAGGTGCAAACATATCATATCTGCGATATTTGAATATTTTAATATGAAACCTTACAAATATTGACTTGCATATTTGTTCAAAGTTCATATTGGTGAGAAGGGGGAGGGGGAAGGAGGGGGGGGGGGGGGCACAGTACAGTTTCAACTTATCGTGATATGTGACATATCCAGTTTAATTAAGCGTTAATTGCAATGTTAATGCTTTTAAACACAATTTGGTACATCATAACGCCAGCTTTAACAATTAATACACATTATGTTGGACAGTAAAATCGAATCTATCTCTTTTGCACCATTGTTAAACTTGTACACAACTAACAGTAACCGTAAATTAACTGATTTAATAACCATAAAGCAAATTTACAAACCAGGAAGCTGTTTGTAAAATCAAAGGTGATGATTGTTAAAGATTGAGACATATTACAACCGAAATGGCTGAATTGTAATTGATTATCTATCATTTAAAAACACAGCTTCGCAAAAATAAGTTATTAAAAAAGGAATCAGTTTTTGGACCAAAATTCAGTGTTGTAAGTTATAACCACAAATGTCTTATCTTTTAAAACAATATAACAATACAATAGAATATACATACTATTATATGTCCATTATTATATGTCCAGCAGCCAGCTACAGGCTACTTCAATTTCCAATAAGTTTGAGCACCTCCAGTTTATCTAATCCTCCACTCTTCTGTCTTTTGGTCTGAAGGATGATGGTTTGATCTTTACTTTGGATACATTATTAACTAGAAGTACACGTTTGTAGTTTAGTAAGGACAATATTTGGTGGGATACCTTCTTAACTAAAAATTAATATTGTTTTCGATACGTCACGTTAAAATTCAAATATTCATAAATCATCAGAGCATCAATACTTTAGTAAACTATTCATATTACACACCTGTTTATAGTTATTTATCCGAGCACTGATCTTCTTCACCGTCATGGAACATCTTGAAAAACTTGATGAGCCCGTCTGTTATTCTGATGCCCTGAAAGTACTCTGAAATTGTAAATGGTTTTGTTGATATATGTGAATCCCGATGGCAAATTCGATAAAATGCAGTTGTATATTACGCCGCAAAATTCGCACATTTACAATAACATAAACCCGCCACGCAAAGGGTTTATATAACAGATCATCCCGCGCTAGCGGGATGATCTGATAAACACATACGAGTGCGCGCAGCGCACGAGTTTTGTGTTAATATGTAATCCCGAAGCGCCAGCTGAGGGATTACATTTATTTAGCCCTGAGCGTGAAGTGTTTATGGATTATAATTATCTCCGGCGATTTCGACAAGGGATTTATACTTTAGAAGCTGGGAAAGCAGTTCATCAATCTGAATGTCAAACCGATCTGTCATAGTGGAGCAATAGCTTGAACGTTAGCAGGAACAAGAGCTGGAAGGAGAGCAAGCAGCTATCGACCTATCTCACTACTCTCATGTTTCTCAAAAATCTTTGAAAAAATTATGCAAGCGCGACTATTAGATCACTTAAAGACAGAGAAAATCCTATTTGACTCTCAATACGGATTTCGGGCGGGGCACAGCTGCGAACATGCTTTACTAGAAGCCCAAAACCATATTCACAGGGCACTAGAAAAAAAGCAGGTCACAGCACTGCTTCTATTGGACTACAGCAAGGCCTTTGACATGGTTGGCAGCAGTATTCTTCTGAGAAAACTTGAGCACTATGGAGTTCGGGGGTTGGCTTTATCTTGGTTTCACTCATATCTAACCGATAGAGAGCAATACGTGAGCGTCAACAACTGCAAGTCCTCTCACCTCAAACTTAACTACGGAGTACCACAGGGCTCCATTCTCGGACCAATTCTGTTCATAATCTACATCAACGACCTTCCTCAGATTAGTAATTTAGCTAAACATATTTATTTCGCTGACGACGCAAACCTAATAATAAGTACAGATACATTTGAACAACTTAATGCATTGGTGAATGAGATTCTGACTTTGATAATTGATTGGGCTACTAATAACGGGCTTAAATTAAATGCTAGCAAAACTAAATATATGATCTTTACAAATAAGAAAACTAAGGATATAGAAATCTACATGGGAGGTGAGCGACTAAAGCAAAGTTATCACGAAAAGTTTCTTGGCGTGATCATTGATACTAAGCTAAATTGGGCCCACCACATTAGACATTTAGCCACTAAAGTATCTAGAAATGCGGGTATTCTCTACAAACTCAAAGGCTCAGTACCTAACAAAGCACTTAAGTTGATATACAACAGCTTTGTTCAGTCTCACTTGTACTACTGCTGCACAGTTTGGGGAACAAGATCGCTAAACTCCGTTAAAAGAGTCTTCTCGGCCCAGAAAAAGGGCATTCGCGCTGCAGATAACCAATACCACCGCTATTTTTATGACAAAGATCTGAATAGCACACCTTCACACACAAAGGAAATTTTCAATAAACTAGAAGTATTAGCTTTACCGAACGTGATAGCTAAATGTATATTATGCTTAATGCACAAAGTTTATTCTAACACTGCACCACCAAATATTATAAGAATGTTCACTGTTTCAAACTTAAACGCACCTAGAAGAGAACCTGAGTTCTTTGCAGTACCATTTAACCGTTTATGTAATTCAGACAAGAGCATTTCTTACATTGGGCCTAAGTTATATAACCAAACAGTCAACATTATTAACAAGGACATAAAATATGTCACCACTTGCCTACAAGACAAATTCCTAAATTCATTCAAGTCTACAGTCAACAAGCATGTGCTTACTGCACAAGCACATAAACCGGATGACAAGGACTGGGACAACTCAAATTTCGTACTTTTAGAAATTTAAATAATTTGGTACAACATACGTTGATCATAATAACGAGCAACAAACCTCATAACAAAATATGACTATCTTCGAGCATTTTTTACAATGCTATCGACACCGCGCAATTTCACTGTCATTTACAACTTTTAAAAGATAAAAATATCACCGCGCATTCTTCAGACCCTGTGTCGCTGTTCTAAATTTATGTCAAGAGATAAGAGTTATTTAAAATTCTTAATAGTACTATTTAAATTTGCTAATAGCATAATCATATTTTATACATTATTAATACTTTATACATTGTGTGCATATATTTATAATTGATTGTAATTAAAGATTTTAAGGCGTTAGTGCCGAGTAATGCCTTCGGGTAGTGCTCCTCAATCAATCAATCAAGCAAAACAATACTATTTTTAGGGCACGGACAAGGGTAGCTGGCTAGTCGCCAACTTCTCACGCCACGCGTTGGAGAAATTCCAAGAATTAGCTGCTTTGGCAACGTTCCCAGGAATTTGCGTGTAAAAGAAGTGGACGGTTACGACGCGATGTTTCATATCACGTGGTGCGCTTTCGTGTCACGTGGTATAGACTCGGCGTATGCTATTGGTGGCACGTGGTACGCACGTGACGCGCCCACGTGATCGCGCGTCTAACTGTTCTACTATTATCGAGTTCTAATCAGCAGTATCATTGATTATTGTAAGTCGGAGAATTGAATGATAAACATCAGTTACGACTAAAAAGCGGGCCGGGTTTATACAAATTTCCGGGGCGGGATGATATCACCTTGAGATGTTTATCTAACAGCGGGCCGGGCTGAGTGATAATATGATCCCGCGTCGAAATCCCGGAGATATTTATATTTAATTCAACACATTTAACACAAACAACTTGATGAGTACAACTAGTTTGTAATCTTATTAACTTCAATTCATAGACCAATAAATATACGTTAAATATACAATGAACGTAACAAAAACACACAACAAAATTACCTAGCTTTGCCACACTTTTGCGAAGAATTTCAAGTTTCTCTGCAGTAAAGATCCCTCCGAAGTACTCCTCGGAATAGAGCAGATCCCAATGACTGGTCACAGTCGTGTTAGCATGGCAGGTGGTGTTTTCCAGTAACTCTTTAACTTGTTGAAGTTCTGTCAGAGTTTGGTTAAGAGCTGCAGAGGTACTGTTCAGATCCTGGGTTGTGGTGTCTAGTTCTTGTAGGGTTGTCTGTTTTTGTGCCTCCGTCCTGTTTAGCTGCTGTTCTTTACTCTTCAGATCGGATTTAGTTTCCTCAAGCTCTGCTAGGGTTGCGTTCATCTGCTGTTCTTTGTCCTCCAGATCAGATTTAGTTTCCTCAAGCTCTGCTAGGGTTGCGTTCATCTGCTGTTCTTTGTCCTCCAGATCAGATTTAGTCTCCTCAAGCTCTGCTAGGGTTGCGTTCATCTGCCGTTCTTTGTCCTCCAGATCAGATTTAGTCTCCTCAAGCTCTGCTAGGGTTGCGTTCATCTGCTGTTCTTTATTCTCAAGCACTGCTAAGGTTGCGTTCATCTGCCGTTCCGTATCCTCCAGGTGAGATTTACATGCTTCTTTTTCCTCTTTGGCTCGGATTGATTCTACACACCCACTTTCGATCTCAGTAACCTCGCCGTTCCTAGTCTTCAGCAGTATTTGTTCCCACTTTATGCTCCTAACCACCCCATACGTCTCCTCTATTTCAGTGCACTTGTCTTTTGCCATCTCCTGAACTTCAGCGCTACTCAGTTCCTTGGAGAACAAGTTGAGCTTATAAAGCTCCCCTCCAAATATTGCGTCCTGGGTCAACGTTCCACCATAACTGTCCTGATCGTTTCCGATTACAAGATAACCGTTAGTACCGAGTTTACGTCCTGAGGGTGTTGATCTGCTTCCAATAAGCTGTCCATTGAGGTACACTCTATGTGTTCGGGATGATATGCTCCAGGTTCCACAGTAATGGTACCAAGTCCCTAATGGGACTGAGCTAATCTCTCTTTTCAAACTCCAACCGCTGTCGAATATAATGTTATAATTCCCATTACTTGATATCAGGATCTCATCGGAACTGCCACTGTTCACTGCGTAGGATAGCCAACTCGGATTACTACTAGATCTAATACCTCTAACCCACGAGCAAACTGAGAAAGCATTCTGCAGAGGTCCCATGCTCGGCTTGTAGATGATATAGTCCGGAACACTGTTACCAAACTTCAGGGCGTTAAATCGGCGTTGGTCGGCGGTTGAGTCCCCACTAGTAGAGACAAACTGGAGTAGGGATAGTATTCCAAGGAGAACCGGCTTCATCTTTAGACTAGTCTCAGCTAACAGTGATAATATGGTAAAATGGTTAGTGGTGAGATACCTTAATATCGAGTACTTAAATATCATAATAAGTTACTAGTAGTTTCAACTGTTCATGTTGTGAGGAATTTCAAAAAGTTAAGGTGTAATTTTAGAGGCGACGACGGTTGATATTACTTGTTGCAGATAAAATGAAGAATAATATAGAATATTTTTGACGAAAATAGAATTTGTCAGATAAAACGAAGAATATTCTCGATAAAGATATTTAAATTTTGTCAATAAATCTAGAAAATTGAATATTCGTAATGAATATAAAAATTTGCTTATAAAATGTAGAGTAAAATAATCTTGACAAAGATAAAATCATTGATGTACTATAGGAATGGGGGACATACACCAAAAAAGTTGGACTTGGAGTTTTGCTAGTACTTTAGTTAAGTTTTTCAAAATCATCCCACATTCAAATGTCGATTTGGCGCCCCCCTAAGATGGCGCCCTCCTGCATGATCGTGATCAGCTTGATGGGACAAAACATTTAGTACCAAATTTATGAGAACTGAAGAAAAAAATTAAATTGAACACATTTAAAAAAAATTGTTTCTTCAAATATCATAAATTTGGTACTAAAAAAATATTGTTTGGCTCTATTGGAAAACAAAGTCGAGATGGTGGTGTCAGTAAAATGGCAACAGATATTATATTATATTAAAATGGGACTTTTATAAAAAAAATCATAAAATTTCAGAATCTCTCAGTGATGGAACTAAAAAAATAATTCTGAAAATACTAAATAAAGTAATTGGTGTTATTAGCTCAAGTAAAATTTAGAGAAATAACGTCGCGAAGAATAATGAAAAGGTTGCAAAGTGCACACTTTATAACGCTCAACCTAGGTAGGGCCAGGGTAGGAATGTAGGGCAAGAAATGTTGTGACAACCTAAACTCATTGGTATGGGTTTGTAAACATGTTAACGTAAGACTTCTTGTGATGACCACGATTCCATCGTGACCAGTTATTTGGCTGTTTTTTGGTCAGTTACTAGGAACATAAATTTAAACCCTCAGAATGCCATTTGTTTCTGTCATGTTCAATTTTCCGAAGGCTTTAAAGATTCCTGTTCAAGGAGTTAAAGTACGAAGCGTTGACACATTGCTATTGCACTTTCGCTTTTGGGTACTAATATTTGATAAATTCCAGCCTTATATGGTGATTAACTCTATGCTCCGTGAAGTATGGAATTTACTGTTCAACATGTGATTTATTTGGATAGTTTGTTGGGCATTACTTTATTATTGAGACAATACAGTTTTTACTCGCAGTCTTATTTTATCAAGATTTCTCTTTGCCATAATAAAGTCAATTTATTTACAATAACATCACTGTTACAATAACTTAATGCTAAGATTCTAATTAATAATTGCAGGTTCAAACCTCAGAACCTAGAATTATCTTGGCATGCTTCGAATGAACCCCTGAAATTTACAACGAGGAATAGATTCATCAACAAATAGCATTATCCGATCTTTATAAGATGAACACTAGTATAATCTGGTTTCACCGAAAAATCTGTTACCATCCATAAAATGTGGCCGGTATCTAAGGCATGGATTTGCGAGCTATGTATGTTACCACAACTACATGGTAACCATATTATTTTGTATTTTACATTCTACATCCGGTACGGTTATGCACTACACGATATCTCTCTCTGAAATGAAGATAGATTATATAAGGACACGTTCATTGAAGTTTGAGGATATTGGTAAATATTAGTGACCCTACTAAATGGCACGATGATGTAAAATATGTCACACTATAAAACTATATAAACCCTCAATGGTTAGGATAATCGTTTCATCCTCTAGATAAACTTTGTCGCATAACGATATCTTTATCAGACGATAAGATATCGCTTAAATGCGGCCGGCAGTGAGTTGTAAACTTTGTCACACTATAAAAATGTGACAGAGTTTATATGGACCCCTTGTTGCCGTGTTTGACCAAATTTTCGAATTTCAAATTTATAGGATAGTTGCATATGACTATTATCTACATATTTAGCGACTTTTTTCGTTAAATGGTAGCACCATGTAAACTCCGTCACACATTCAAGAAATTTATATGAGGGATGTTTATGACATCCGGACAAGAAATGCTGAATAGTCTAGCATTGTTTTGTGAGCTGAATGTGTTTGGAATTGTTCAAATATTTCATTGTTATAGGCAAATACAAATACAGAAGGCAGAAATAGGTAAATTTAGTCACATAAATTTGTATGATATCTCAACATGCGTGAAATTGAGTAAATATTAGTATACCAACTTAAACACCCTATATTACGTACTATGGATCAATTAACAATATTTCAACCATACGCCGGTCATATAAATTATTATATGGCAGTGATATGTTAACATTGGCAAAATTTCAACACCTGAACAGGGTAAAAATTTGTAAATTTCGTCACAAAAAAAATATTATAACTTTATTTGCTCCGTGTTGGCAAAATAACTAATTTATCGACATAGTGATGGTGATAAAGTAACATTATATACTAATTGAGGTATGATTCTTCAAAATAGGGGCAAGAAATGTAAATTTCGTCACATCAGCCATAGCATTAGTTAGATAGATTTTCTTTCATATCAACTGCCCTTATTATAGCAAGAATGGATTTATACAGGAAATATAGAAACCCATGCCCATTTTTCATCACATTGAAATTATACTGTTGGGGCAGGAAAAGTAAATTTCGTCACATTTCGGTAAATTAGTGATACCAAACTCAGCATTGTTAAACTTGGGTTCTGATTTGCTGAAAAATAACCAACCAATAATTCCTGGAAGAAAATTGAATTTTAACTGAGGTATGGTTCTTTAAAATAGGGGCAAGAAATGTAAATTTCGTCACATATACGTAATTTTAAAATTTAGATAGATTTTATTTCCTACCAATAGTCCTTATTATAGTCGGAATGGATTTATACAAGAAATGTAGAAACCCATGCCAATTTTTCATCACATTGAAACTATACTGTTGGGGCAGGAAAAGTGAATTTCGTCACATTTCAGTAACTTAGTAAGATTAAACTCAGCATTGTTAAACTTGAGTTCTAATTTGCTGAACAATAACCAACCAATAATTCCTGGAAGAAAACTGAATTTTAACCGAGGTATGGTTCTTCAAAATAGGGGCAAGAAATGTAAATTTCGTCACATACGTCATTTTAAAATTTAGATAGATTTTCTTTCATATCAATAGTCCTTATTTTAGTTAGAATGGATTTATACAGGAAATATAGAAACCCATGCCAATTTTTCATCACATTGAAATTATACTGTTGGGGCAGGAAAAGTAAATTTCGTCACATTTCAGTAACTTGGTAAAATTAAACTCAGCATTGTTAAACTTGAGTTCTATTTTGCTAAACAATAACCAACCAATAATTTCTGGAAGAACATTTTATAATGTATGTAATATGTTAATCACAGACTATTTCATTCTATAATCATTGCATTGTTTCCAAATTTAACCTATTTATGATGTCTTATCATTTTGTGACGATGTTTACAGCAACTGCCCTATACTAAATACTTGAATCAACTGTATCCGTGTATCGTCCTTATATAGAGTTTTCCTGCAAAATTTAACTTATTTACGATGTCGTATCATTTTGTGACGATGTTTACATCAACTGCCCTATACTTGAATCAACTGTATCCGTGTATCGTCCTTATATAGAGTTTTCCCGCCTTCCAAACCAAAATCAGATATAAATGATTTCGGAAATTCACCCAGAATTTCAAATTCCATATAATGTGACAGAATTTACATCATTTCCGAATAACCAAGTGCATGTATTAGCTAACTTTTCAAAACAACATATTTTAGGGCTATGATTGGCAGAAGAACCATCAAATAATGAGTTGAAAGGGTTTTGAGGACACCTCACAGTAGAAAAGAGGTTTCGTATTCTGAGTGTGACAAAGTTTACGAAATATTGCCTTAAAGCCGTTCGATCCGTGCCCTTTAACCAATGTTGTATCATAATTGTTAGATTGACCTAATCTACTATATTTCAGACCAAGGAATGATAATTGGGCAGCTATGGTAAACAATGTCACAAAAATGTGACATTTTTTACATTATAGTGCCTAAAAGCAATACATTGTATTTCTGAGCAGTGCATATGGGAGTATGGGTCACGTGGCTAATGTTCAGAACTTATGAACACGCTAGATTAATAGATGCTAAAATTAAGCCACTATCGTCAAAAACGCTATTTTAGAAATTTACCAATATCCTCAAACTTCAATGAACGTGTCCATAAACAAACCTGAAGTACCCTACAAATAGAAGAAAGAAGATAAAAACCCTTTAAATCACGAGGAGAATAGTCCAACTTTTCCGTGGAATTGAACACGGAAGCTGTCATGATCCTGGAAACATCACAAACTTTAATAACTAGCTCTAGAACATTCAGAGCAAATAGTACTCTACTTCCCAAAACAGGCGTCAGATCCTTAACTCTGAACTATTTCGTCGCCAATATATGTATATATTGGTTACCTACTTATCACAGATCACTCATCTCTAACAATTTTAGATGTAGGCCATTATAATAATGGTAAAGACGTTACGTTTAATGATATCAAATTACTTTTAACTCTTTGCATCCTCAGTAGTCAGTACATAACCAGGTACAGGGTACCGTAGAAAGTGTGACTTTTTTCCACAAAATAGTCACACTTTCTACGGTATTTGCCTAATTAGTTTCACTTCTAAACGAAAAGCTCTCACACTAACTGTTTCCTCCCAGGTGGACTTTACAACGCTCCTATCCCAAGATGTCATGATAAAACTAAACTCCCACTTCAAGACAATCCGGGAGACTGGTAGTCTTCTCTCTGACCAGCAGTTCAAGTTTAAGGAGTACATTGATCAGAGTGAGGTGGAGCCGTGCTGTTTGGAGGGAAGCTGTTGTCATGGTAACGAGGAGAAGAAGTTCTTGAAGAGTGCTGCTGTTGTTATTTTACAGGTTAGTTGTTGTTTTTGGTAGTTTTTGTGTTGTTGTTCCTATAGTTGCGAGTGAACCGTTTTGACAAGTTATACATGAAACGTTGAACATACATAATCCTGGATGTGACTTCTGATTTACCTTTTATATTGAATATATAATACTTTGTATGGGTCACACTTAATTTCTTACTATTTAAGAGTGCCCCTTTTTGACGAAGTCACTGACATCGGATCATGTATATATACAGTATACACAGGATAATGTGGCAACTGCAACTAAAGAAGACTTGTTATCACTTTATAATCTTGTGACTGAGTGTTTCGTGACCAACTTAAACCTTTCAAAAATGAAACCTAAATGTACATATAAACCACAGACACAGCTCAGTGTACTCATCTCTCAGCTGAACTTTAACCGTATATCAGTTTAATTAAACAGCACAGCTGAACTTTAACCGTATATCAGTTTAATTAACAGCACATTAGTTTAAACGACTTGCTTCATCATGCATAGCGGATACTTATGACTTATCTCATTGACGGAGAGAATGTTTTTACAAGTATTACAAATAAGCTTTTTCTTTGATTTTAACATATCGTCGGCTGATTTGCGGCTATTAATACATTCAGAACATGATATACCAAATCAATGGCTCTGTGTCGCAAATAGATATCCAAAGCGATAAGAGATTATGCAAGTCAAGCTGTAATGTCAACTGTCAAATCCAGGAATTATATTGGGTGGTAATAAATAATAAATTATAGCTGATGTATAAAGTAATACACAATAAATAGATTAATGTACCAAAAATAATATATTAAGTAATAAGATCACTACCTACAGTGTGGGTAGAGACTGTGCTTTCTACATCACCCAATTTGATAATCTGTCTCACCCCTGAAACTCGACACTACTTGACTTCTACTTTCTAGAGATTGAAGTAGGCATAAACGTGATGTTCTGTCCACTGGTTACACTAGTAAATGTGCAGAACAATTAGTCGATATACATGCTCATTCTTTCAATAACCATGATGTATCCTAGTTTCCTCTATAATGTACCCTATACCTGCGCAAAAAGGTCACAACTTACTCACAGCAGTTATGGCGAATGTACTTTTGTTGCTGTAATCATGTACTATGTGTACTATTTGTCTGATCACCCACGTGTCTATTAACATGATACTATTTGGGTTTCTGGCCTCATTGTGTTAGCAGATTACATTGGTCACGGGCTCAAGCTATTGTACTCAAAACATACAGTAGACTGTATGGAACGCGCAAAGACATTCTTGTGGTGCTGCGCGCGTCTCCGGATGTCCAGTGGCGCGCGCCGCGCCATCGATATCAGATAATTTCTTGACACTTCACCCTTGTGACTTGGTGACTTGTATCATAATTATTCGAAGCTCACCATCATACAATAATGATACCTCAAAATGGAGACATTTTCTTAATTTCTGATTTCGCCCAAAACAGCCTGAAACTGATCTATCATACAAGTTATCAGTTCTTACATGCCAGCTACACCAGGCTCAGTACGAACGGATGAGAATGAGACTACTAGGCCGCTCATTTAGCCAGCCGCTCGCGCTAGTGTATCTTTTGTTAATAGTAGGATCTCTAATACTGCCATCAGTTAAACTTGGAAATTTAGATCGAACTATAATCAGCTGCACAAATGCACGTTAATGCCGCTGTTTGGAACAGTAAAACCCTGATTTTTCTTTAAACCAAAAAACTAAGATTTTAACATACTATACGATGATGAAATATTAAATACAGTAAATTACCAGAGGTAAAATTTCTCTAATAAATCTAACTGTAAGAATATATTTTATTTCGAATTTCGATTCCTCACAAAGTCCCGTGACACATTATTAACAATCACTCTAACAATAGTAAATTATTTCCTGGAAAAGACACGAACACACCTCACCCCTCCAATAGAAGCAGTGGCGTAACGTTGCCTGTTGGCGCCCCCCCCCCCCCTGCCGAAAAAAGCGCCCCCCTGTTGGCGCCCCCTCCCCTTTTGGTGCCCCTCCCTAAAATTGAACAAATTAGGTGATTTTAAAGAATACGCCGGTAAAATCTCTAAAAACGTGTGTATCTAGAGCAAAACGCGCAGTTTTGTTAGTACTATAGTTAAGTTTTCGAAATTGTCCCACATTCAAACGATGATTTGGCGCCCCCCTAAGACGGCGCCCCCCTGCACAGCGGGGTCAGCAGGGCCTTTCGTTACGCCACTGAATAGAAGTGATGAGCAACATCTGGCCCGCCTTGTCTATTTTCCTAACTGTTACCATTTCCTGGTCACAAACCTTGCCTTTGACTGTAATGGAGCCGTCCTCATTTGCGGTGGCAGAAGCAACAACCGTCTTCTCGAACATTTCCTCTGAAAACTCGCTTCCGTCCAAGGGAATTATTTTCTCGGTACTTTTTACTGGACTGTCAACAGACACCTTCATGTTGTTGCCTTCAAATGATATCGTTTGGCAAACTTTTATTTGTGCTGAAAGGGCAACTTTTCTCTTCAAGAAACCTATCTCAAATTTCTGTAGCAACTCCGCAAAGTTGGTTTGGCTCACATATTCCCATTCACCAGCCATTTTCTGATGATCTCCCATCTTTTTTTGATGTAACCTAGTAACATGATTGAGTAAAGGTTATAAAAGGGACATTATAGACAGAAAGCCCAATTTTAATTCTTTATAGATTGAGATGAACATCAAAAATATAATTTTAATTATAAGTTTGATCCGGCGCAAGTATTAAGAAAATATCTCCAGCCAAATTTCCAAAGGGTCCAACCACGGCCTGAAACTATTAACAATGAAAGAAATCAAGTGTGAAAGCAGTTCTGTTATTCTCATAAGAAAACACGTTGTTAACAATTAACAATGGTACTCAAGATAGCAATTAAACGCTAATCAGCTAACTGTAAACAATATTGTTTTTGTTAATTACACTACCGTGATATGATTGCATGTCGCGCTCTTTTCCACTTAGCAGCAAATTGCTATTTGTATTATTTAACCCAATTTATCAATAACTCAGCGTGTTCTAATATAGGATAAATAAAGGGTATAAATACCAAGGCTCAATCAATGGGGTCTGTTATCGCCGTATTACCATCGCTATGATACATCGCTGTAATATATTATATAATACATCGCTATAATAGGCTGTAGTATAGATTCCAGGAATGAGATTAAGCAACTTAGCACTTCTTATCTTTCCTGAAGACCATGGTGGTATAACACTAACAGAGACAATCTTGGCATGAAATATATTTCTTTTACTCATTTTAAATATCATCTTGGTCCCTTTCGGAAAACTTGATTAGTCGTTAAGTGATACTGAGGAACATATAATAATCAACAGATGGTCAAATTGAGGAAGCACGCGTACAAATAAAAACAACACCTTGTTATTATCTATAAGCATTTTGATGGATTGTTCTGCGCAGCTGCTGTAAGAATAATTAGTCTGTCAATTAAAAACAAAAGAGTAACTTCACAATGCTGATTGCTGATGATGGTCCTGTTTGGGCGTGTCTTAGGGACCTGCAAAGCTTCTTTGTGATCTCGTTCTCTATTGGCCATCTGGTTAAACAGTTTGGAAACTCTAAGATTCATCACTTCACCAATCAGTTAGATCGTACTTTGAAGTTTAGTGAAGTCCTTGTAAGATCTCTTCCAACATGATAACTCTGCTGATGATCGCTGTGGTTTTAGTACCATCCCTGCAAACCGAACTGAAAATACTGGATACTCACGATGGTGGTACTGGTCCAGCTCCTTGCTCTCTAACCTGTGTTGGGATCGGGAGACGGAACAGCGGCGGGATCCTCAGATGGATGGACTCCAGTTCAAACCCAGGATATGTGTTCATGATGATAGAAATTGAGAACTGCAATTTCGTGTCCGCTCCAGTTATCACAGTAACTACAGTTACTGCAGGAATGCAGCTGGTGGTGTGTCCCGCGGTCACTGTGTGGCATCTTAGCAAAACAGTGTTTTATGTGTACTCTGTTGGATATACATCAGCTTATAGGATGGAGCAGGATGAGTGTATTGTTCACTGGTCTGCTTTTGGTTACAATTGTTAAAACTTAACACAGTCTGAATCCTGAAGCCATCGTGAATTGTTTGAACTTTGAGATCTTTAGTTTTAAGAAACTTGCAATTCGTCTTTTTCTGATCTCGATCAACGCAATAAAAGTATAAAACCCCAACAACATAACATATTCAAACAATAAATTTAGCTATAATTATATAAAAATTTACATTTATTGTATACACTATACATTTTGTTTTGATACGGACACTAATTATTTGTGACAAAAGATAGATATGGTGATTTTTGACCAATCTAAACGCATATATCACTGTCACGACACGATTTTGGGTAATCAGTGACAGACGACCGATTACCCAAAACTTTTTATTTATTAAGAAACTGTTTACACCATTAAAATATTCAAAACCCCTAAAAGAAATCAAGTCATCCTAAAATGGTGATCAGTACAGATCAAGACAGCTAGAGTTAAAATTTGTTTCTCCAAGCAACTCTATCATCGGCTAATATCTTAAGCTTATTAAGATCATTCAAAGAGTTAAGTTTTAAACCTCTACGGGTCAAATCATTCACAATAATCTTGAACAAATTCTTACGATGCGCACCGACGCGCCCTTTACAGTTTGTTGTGACAGCAAACTTTAACGCTAATGCAGCGGGGGAGTCATCAGCACTACGCAAGATATGACCTAGGAGCTTCCACCTTGCTTTAGGGACACGATCTGATAGCTTTACTGAGTTACATCTTAGGTATAAGTTTGCATTGGATATTGTTCCATGAGGCCAATAAATGTTCAGTAATGATCTAAGGTGTTTTCTATGGCAAATGTCTAGTTTTTCTAGTGACTTTGCAGTAGGACACCAACTACTGCAATTGTACATGATGATTGATACAATTTGAGCTTCGTATACTGCTATCTTTCTGGTAACGGAGATATTCAATAAAACGGAGATATTTCATAAAACTTTTTATAAAAATAAAATATCCTTCATCATTTGGGAGTATTCAAAAAGTAAATCCTCGCAATACTTTTGAAACACCCTGTATTTAACATAGCCCCTGCCCCCAGGCTACCACTCCCCCGAGTATCTGGCTATCTCCACTTCTAACAGAGCTGATGGGGGACGTCCTCTCAAACTACGTGCTCTACCCACTTATCCTGAAAGTAACAGATAGTTACTATCTTTATTCCTGTATTCTACCTTACATCGCCTCCATGGGTCAGTCTTCTTTTTTAGATTTTATTTGTAGTATTTTTCAGTGTTGAGTTCGATTATATCGGTTGTTAATTAACAATTACTAATGATATGACGTGAGTCTTTTTCACTTTTCAGGTTGCAATCTTTATTCGAAACATTTCTCAGTTCTCACATGAATTATGTTTGGGCTGTAATTTTTTTAAAATGTTCTTAAAACTATCAGCTGAATTATATCATTTGTAAATTAAGTCGATTATTTTGGGAGAGAATTATTGTGGGGAATGCATTACCGCTTAGCATATCAATGCAGTAATATCAACCTCGTTATCATTGTGATAACTGATAAATCATACAGTAAACTCTAAATCTGATTGTGTTCTGTGTCTGGATCTGCGAATAACCTGATAAGAACTAAAACTTTATAGCTCAGAAATCTTAATTACCAGATTATCTCTGGGGCCATTTTTTACTCACTCCAATCTCTTAATGAATCCCCAAATAATTCTAAACTGTTAAGTTACTTTCTAAAAATTCGAAACGTGAAGAGACTTCAGGCTTCTAACGTCATGAAACCACCCCACTGATTGAATCAGAACATCAGAACTGGAGTGGACCATGTTAAGGTACTAACAGGGACGAGATTATGTTGATGAATGATAAGTGAAGTCATTAGCTGAGATTTGATTTCTCGTGATCTGGTCGTTAGTTTGTTCTTGGACATTTTTTCGAGAACACCACGTACTTTTTAAGAGTCCTCGGTCCAACTCCCTTGATATTTTCATAATCCATCTGTCTGTTATAAATTAGATCCTCTTGAATTTAATATTTTGAATTTATTTATAGTTGTTGTTTTTTTTTTGAGCTTTTGTATAAATCATTATGCTGTTGAAATGTACCCTTATGGCAAATATTTTGACAGAATCATAGCAAGGAACGAAACTCCCATACGGTATAAAGATGCAGTGTAACAGGAAAGTACTCGGAATCCTCACAGCTGCTATACTCCTGCTTGTAGCCGTAGCTATCGCTCTGGTATTAGTGCTTGTTGTCTTCAGGGAGGATGTTGTAAAAGTAAAAACCCCGAACGCAGGAACAATTCTCGGGAGTACAAGCATCCTAAAGGACGGCGATACAAAGATACAAGAGTTTCACAATATCCGTTATGCTGATCCTCCTGTTGGAATGTTGAGGTTCAGACCGCCAGTAAGGCACTTTGAAGAGGACCCTGAAAATGAGGTTCTAGCAACAGACAGTACGGAGATTAAATGTGTCCAGGCAACGTCTGGCGAAGGAGCGGAAGATTGTCTGTTTTTGACCGTTCGGTCTGGAGATTTGAATGCTTCCAAGCCTGTTCTAGTATGGATACATGGAGGGGGACTTTCATTTGGTCACGGAACATCGCCGGGTTACAGTTTTGATTCAGAGGTGACTCACAAGGTTGATGCTGTGACTGTTAACATTAACTACAGGTTAGGTTTCCTTGGTTTCAGTTCAGTGAAGGAGTTGTGGGACGAGGACGAGGGTGTCTACGCTAACAATGGTATCAGAGATATGATCGCAGCTCTGGATTGGATACAAGATAATATAGCAGCGTTCGGTGGAGACCCTGGCTCGGTAACCCTGATCGGCGAGAGTGGAGGTGCTACAGCTGTGCTGGCTCTAACTTGTTCCCCCCTAGCTAACAACAAGTATCATGCCGTCATTTCACAGAGTCCAGCCCCAGAGATGAGATTTACTCACGTAGATGGAGATGTTCACCAAAGGACCATAGTTGATCAACTCGACTGCACCCAGGAAGCGGCTGCTGACCGTAAACAGTGTCTCTTAGAACTACCTGCTGAAAAGTTTTCAGGGAAATATCTTGACATTATGAGCGGATTGGGTTACTTTACTTTCCCCTTACTGCTTGGTGAGAAAGCGGAGGTTGTAGGACTGGTTGTGATCGATCCAGTTGTGGTGACTGTGTCTCCTAGGAACTTGAGCTCAGGTGATTTTACTCCGTCCTCTCCGTTACCCATAATAGTTTCGAACTTAGCAGAGGAAAACTGGCAGAGTGATTGGGAGCTCAATCCACCGTTTACTTCCAAGGCTGATTTGAGGACAAAACTGAACCCGCTGTTTAAAAACTTGTCAGACGAACCAAATGTGACGGACGAAGTGATAGCCCTGTACCCTAACCAAGACCCGGTTTCTATTTGGAGTCTTATGACTTGTGACATGAGGTCCACTTGTCCGACTAACAGTGTAGCTGAGGCCATGTCCGCTGCTCCCCACAGGGACATTTACAGACTGTACATCACCCACCGTTCTAGTCTAGGGGTTCCTGCCTTCCATGGTTATGATTCCATCGTGTTTTTCGGGTACAAAAGTGAAATGTTTGTTGCAAGAGAATTAGATACCAAGTTTGAGAAACATTATATTGATATGGTCAAAAAGCTGGCGAAGGAAAACACATTTGAGGATGGGTGGATGACGTTTCCCGGGAAATCTATGATATACGAGAACTCTGATGAGATTTCTAAAATTAGCAGTAGTAAACCTCAGCAGATCGTGTGTGAGAAACTGAGTGAACTGAATTTGGTTAAATATGGCTGGCAAAATAAGTAGCTTTATTGACAGGGCAAAAATAAATATGAGGTTTTACAACTGACTATGAAAATTACTATACTGTACCGTGGTTCATGATATTTCCTTACAGCTTTATAAACGATTTCAAATGTATAATACAACTATACAACAGTACGCAATGTATTTATTTTGTATAAATAACGACGGATAAAGGCATGTCCATTTATTCCTCAATTTTTGGTCAAACGGGCATCGATGAGCATTGCTGTTTTTAATCTTTAAAAACATCTAAAACTTGAGTTGTGATGAAAATAAACATCACCTATAACCTCACAAAGCATTAAAGGGGATTTTAAATAAGCCAATCCGTTCATAATATCAAGATATTTCCCTGAAAACTTGTCAGCCGATAGGTATAGCAGAGACTGTTTACCCGACAAAAGGAAATCGCGGCATGTACGGAATCGCGATTTTTCCCATTATTTGCGACAAATTTTATGTATAGTTTAATATACCGCGAAATTTAATTCGCGGTATCGCGATTTTTGGCCAAAATAACCGCGAAATCCTTTTGTCCCTGAGTCTGTTTACGGCCAGTAGTTGTTTCCTGCAATCAATCATTATTCCGAATTTTTCTCAGGCTCACCGATGAAGGACAGAAAGTTTTTCACACAAGCAAAAACATACGAAGATTTCATCAAGAAGATCAACAAGGAGGCTGATTTAAGCAAACTACGCCAGCTAAGGTTATTTTAGAGGGGTCAACATTTTAGGGGTGCATGCCGCCGCCGGACGCCGCCGCACTGTTAGATTTGTACACACCGCAAGGTCTCAAGCCGGCCTGCACCCTTGCAACATAACTCAAAACACTTCATACATTACATAAATGTTTTTTATTGATGGTAAACAAATCTTCAGATACAAAGTCATAGCAGAGATTATGCAAGCTATGACGGTAGAGAACTTGAAACAAGAACAGGATTTTGATGGACTTTTATCCCAGATAAATAGTAAAAGTTACCGCCTATCCACCCGAAATCTAGCGAGATACATCAACCAGGTTAAAATACAAGACATACCTGTTTTATCTAATATTATTCCGCCACGCTATTTAAAAAACGATCGCTAGCTCAAACATTTGAGAAGTAAAATTTGTAACCTATTAAAGTTTAAAGTGTTCCAATGAATCTTTTTATTGCAGTGCAAAGTTGCGAAGGTAACGTGCGAGAAGCGAATATACGATATCACGTGCTTACAGAAGCGTACCCCGCACTATGCAGATATGAGGTTCCGGGAGGCTGAGACCAAGTTATTGGAACTGGACGAGATCATGTACAGTCCGTACGTCCTGCCCTTCTTCGTACAGGTACTTGGTGTGTGGTTTAGAATGGTATATTGTCGTAGTTGCAACAATCTGATTTATTTGCTGAAACTTGAATGTAATGACTCATGTACAATTTAGATCATATTTGTTGTTCGTGATATTAGCCACTTACATGATCTTGCTGAAAACAATAACCTCGTTCTTCAATATATTTCTATTTTGCTTTATATCATATATCTATCAGTTCCTAGAAAAGCAGAAGGAATACGGGCCTCTTAAACTCTGGTTGCTGATAGAACAGTGCAGAACTCTGGAAAAGCGGCCAGAGGAGTTGTATCCGCTGATAAAACAGGGCTATTTGGACCATCTCACTGTCACGTCCCCTCTGAGGGCTCATCAGGCAAGTAGATAAAGATCTATCAAGTATATCTTCGCACCCAATTCCTCTCATATTTTGTCACATCACAAATGTTTTGATTTTTTGACTTATCCTTTCGTATCCGCAGGTTTCCCGTCATCTGATCCGAATGGCAGAAGCGTACGTGGAGCATAAGAGCGGGTACTGGCAGTTTATATACGAGATACAGGAGGAGATCTACACTATGATCAGTGAGCAGCATTACAAGCCTTTCCTCATCAGGTGACAGAACACGTGATAGTAACAGCACATCACGTGATAGTCACATCACGTCACGTGATAGTCACAACACGTGATAGTCACAGCACATCACGTGATAGTCACAACACGTCACGTGATAGTCACAACACGTGATAGTCACAACACAACACGTGATATTCACAACACATCACGTGATAGTCACAGCACATCACGTGATAGTCACAACACATGATAGTCACATCACGTGATAGTCACAGCACATCACGTGATAGTCACAGCACATCACGTGATAGTCACATCACGTGATAGTCACAACACGTGATAGTCACAGCACATCACGTGATAGTCACAACACGTCACGTGATAGTCACAACACGTGATAGTCACAGCACATCACGTGATAGTCACAGCACATCACGTGATAGTCACAACACGTGATAGTCACAGCACATCACGTGATAGTCACAACACGTGATAGTCACATCACGTGATAGTCACATCACGTGATAGTCACAGCACATCACGTGAGCCTCACGGTTGCCGTTACGTTCTTAAAAACCTCAACATAACTGTTGCCGTCGAAGAAGAAATGCTTTAGAAAATTCAATAACAATTTAGTTTGTTTTATGTGAGAGTGTAGTACTCTATAGCTAATACAAATAACTAATGCCGATATTTGGGGAGCCGTAAAATGACCCAATAGTCAAAATACTACTGTAAACATGTTAAAATACCCATGAGATGCCAATTATCACGTGATATTTAAACCCTGACAAACTGACCCTACCATAAACATAATATTTGTAAAGACCATTTACCGAAAAATATTTTATTTACAAAACATCTGTATGTCAAAGTCAAAATGCTACGATAAATTATACTCTTAACCAAAACTTCACTGTATCCCGACAAAAATATTCTAACCACCTAAGACCGAAACAATTAATTATATTGAAATTAAATAATCCCTTTACGTAAAAACGTTATAGTAATATAAATTTAAATGTCCAAGATGCTTCCAAACAATTGTTTACAAAAATTGTAAATCAATTGATATTTTTGATATTAAAAACTATGTATCCCTCAAGTTTTTAATAAAAATTCACGAAAGTGAAAGTCATTTATGCCTCCTTGAACATCAAAATAAAATGTCCATTACCATATCGAAATCTGTTCGCAGTATTTGCCGTCATCTCCACCCTGTCAGCCGTCATCTTCACCGTTAGTACAGTCAAATACGTCCTATTTTAAGCCTTTGTCGGACAAAATTCGCAACAAAGCGATTTTAACGGGAAATGGTCGGGACAGGTCCCAGGAATCATTCCAGAGAATTCCCAAAATTTCTGACTTGAGCAAAATCCACAATTACCACTTTTTTACCACCTTTTTACCACTTTGGTTTTCCGCAAATAAGTCACGTTCTGAATATCCTAGAAGATTTTAGCTTAAAGCAGTGTGTTTAGAAAACAAAGAAGAACAACTTTTTCTTTAACAACTTTTTCAAAAATAAATTATTTAATTAATTAATTAAATAATTAATAAATTTTCAAATATTTCAAAAATATATTTTGATAAAAAATGTTCACAATTACATTACACGTATAATGAACTAATTTTTATAAAACTTTTGAAAATTTTCACTAGCAATATTTTGGACTTTTCGAAATTTGTAGAGAATAACCACTATTTACCACTTTTTACCACATTGAATCTCCGCTAATAAAACGACTTCTGAATGTCGTAGAAAGTTCTAGATTGAACCAATGTGTTCAAAACATGAAAGAGAACAACTTTTTATCTGACAACCTTTGGATTAGATAATCAATTAATTAGTTAATCAATTATTTAACAAATATTCAAAAATTATAAAAATTATTTTCGATCAAATTATTTTAAAATTACATAACACGAATAATTAACAACTTTTCATTAAATTAATCGGGAAATCGAAGCAGTATTTTATATAACCGTATATACTAGATAATAGTCTTACTTATGAGTCCTCAGCTGGCACATTGGTGCAATTGTCCTGACATTTGAAGCAGGTTGATCCACAATGTATTCCTGCTTTTCTGCATGAACAAGCATTGCCACAACCTGACTTTAAACAGTTGCAACTGATGTTTTGAATGAGCTTTTTCGGAGCTGTACTCATAAGAATGGTCACTGGTACATGCGCCCCATTGTTCATCTTCCATCCCCACTCCCCACTTTCCAGGACTACTACCTCTCTGTCAATGACATATTCGACAACCAACACATCACCACAATTGTCAATTTCGCAAATCGCACCAAACGCTTAATTGTGCCGGAAGAGCTGGATCAGACCGGGGTGACTTAAAGTATTATCTCATATGCTGTCTCGTCTCGTTTTACTTTTCCAAACCCAGCTGGCATTTAAGCGTATCATTTTGACTCATATATCATCTTATACCATCCTCCACCAATCACTCTGATTTCACCGGCAACCTTCCCCAAGGTTGCCACACCCCAGAGGTAGGCAGAGCATCTCAATGCTATCCTCTCGTGGGCTATCTTGGCCCAGCCTCTCTTAAAAAAAAAAATAATAATAAAAAAAAAATCCCCACTCCCCAGCTTATCGGATCTAGGTCATTCTCATCTCACGCCTGCAGCTGATGGTAAACACGATAAGAATATTGTTCAGCTGCCCCAGATGTTGGCGGGAGCTGTTCGCACTTGATGTCTGCTGTTAAAGATTGCGACTTCTGTTCAAGAACTGAAAGTCTAGCTTCATCTAGTGATCTCGATTTTTTTGATGAAATCAACTGCAGCATCAAAAGTTCTCCGACATGCTTTATGGTAGCTGGTGAAGAATTTGCCGAATAAAAAGCATCTATTACACTTTCATCGATAGATGCGATCGTTCTGAATAGCCGATCCTTACCAACTCCGTGGATCCGACTGGTGGTGTCTGATCCAGTGAAAGCTTGGCACAGCAGTATCGAGTCAATACACATACGTTGAGTCTTCAGTCTTATAATCGACATGTGCTCGTGTTTGCAAACTGCTGTAAACTGCATTATAACATATACAGACTCAACTCTGCACCCATGTCAATATGTTCATTATATGCAAGCCTCTTGATTTATATTGCAATAGGCCATTACATTCGGAATATGATCTGAAAAGATGGCGCGAAACGGATTGGAAATGACGAAGTTATCAAGCAATTGTTTATCTTGTTAGCGAAATTGATTGGGTTATCAAGGAATAAGGAATACAAGGAATACAAGGAATACAAGGAATACAAGGAATACAAGGAATACAAATTTAAAATCTTGAGCTACAATAGTAACTGTTAAGATAATAACAATATCATAAGATTTGAATTTATTATATTAATATAACTTAACTAAAGTGAAAAATAAAGATTTGACATAAAATATTTTGTTTTCAGTCGCCTTGGTAATGCTGTAATGCTTGAGCCAGGTCACTTTGCAGTTTGCACTCGTCGTTGCGCGAAAAGAAACAAAAGCGGGTACAGTGATTTTCAGTGTTCACTGTTCATGTACTGGCCAGAGAGTCAACAAATTTCTTGCGGTTGTTAAAACACGTAGTGGCAAACCTAGCAACGACTCTCGTGAGGTGGACTTGACTTTCGTTCGTGATAAGTTCAATGATTTCACTGTTGTTGCTGATGAATTTGAGGACGTTTGCTCCAGGGATGACATTGTGAACAGAATAAGATGTCGCAGACGGTTTGATTGGATTTGATATGAGTGACTGGATCTTGTCTAGGACTTTTCGCCTCGATGCAGCGTTAAGATCACAATGGTTAAGGAAGTGGTCTTCATTCTCAATAATACCAGAACCTAAGACTATATTGCACCAGGAGCATATTCGCTCGTCACGTGGAGTTTGATTATATCGGCCAAGTTCAATTTCGAGTCGATGTGCACTGATCCGCAGTCTTGTGATATTAGCACGGTCTGCATATTTAATGACACTATCTAGGTAATACTCTTTGTTAAATTTGGATTTTAGGTCACGATAGAATTCTAATTTCCGAGAAGTGTTGATACAGGACCCCCAATATTCTCTAAAGTTACATTTCAAAGTTTTAGTAATGACGTGTGGTGTGAATATTTTACTCCCGATGGGTTGTGTTGATTGAGGAGGAATTCGTTTCTTGAAACCGTTGTGAATAAGAAAGTCCTCTTTTGGTGGTTTTGCGATACTCGGGTTTCTTTCGAAAAGTAACTTGGAGTGATTGTTTTTGAGTGTGCGGTAGGCTGTGACATGATCGGTAGAGAAACATGGGTCTAGCGCGAGGACAGGCTCCAAACCCCTGTACCAGTCCAATTTCATGTTCATCTGTTCTTTGAAAGCTAAGGAGACAAGGGAGTTATCTTTGAGATTTTTCAAACGTTGGCTATATTTGAGAGTGAGGTTAATACATTCATAGATTAATGGGTAGCGGCCTGACTCACCCCAGACGCCTGCGTTGCTGGCTTTACGATTTACCCCCAGTGACCATTTAAGAAAGTGAAGGTGAACTTTTTCGCTGTTCAGAAGGCTAATTTTCTTGAGGATACTAGTTTGAAATTTTGTTTTTGTGTCGGCATCCATATTGAGATCGACTTGTTTTGTTATGTGTTTTATGATAGCCATGTTAGGTGTGTAAATAGGCGCTCCGTAAAGAACGATAGGTTTAATAAGACCATCAAAGAGTGTTGTTAGAGAGCGGAATGATAATTTGGATTTGTTTACTGAGCTTTTCATGGCATAAAGTGCACGCATGGCTTTCTTTTTGAGCTCAGTTCGGGCATTTGTGAATGTGCCGGATTTGTGTATTTCGATTCCTAGATAGCAGTATGACTCGACTTCTTCTAACAAGTGATCACCAATTTTGAGGGGAACCGGCTGATAAGTATCAAAACGGGCATTAAATTTCATGAGTTTAGTTTTATCTGCATTAATTTCGACGCCCCATTCCAAGCAGAAATTGTTCAAAGCATCGAGTTGCTTTTGGAGGGTTTTGGGGTCCAGTGCCAAGAGTATCAGATCATCTGCCCATAGTAAGTGACTGATAAGTTGGTTCATTAGTTTCGGACAGTTATCATATTCTAGTCGAGGGGAAAGATCTCTGATGTATATCTTAAATAGATCAGGGGAAGTGGATGACCCTGTTCAGTTCCTTTATTGATATCAAATTTTTCGCTGACAAATCCAGATAGTTTTATCTGGCCAGTGGAATTTTTATACATATGTTTAAGAACATTAAATGTTTTGCCAGTGATACCTAGTTTAGCTAATTTTAAGAAAAGAGCTTCACGGCAAACAGAGTCGAAGGCCTTCCGGAAGTCCACAAAAACAGCATAGACGGGAACCTTGAGCTTTTTGTATTTAGACGTAATGGTGTTGAGTGTGAGTATGTGGTCATATGTTTGAGCTCCTTTAGCGAAGCCAAGTTGATTTATGGGGTCCGGGTTGTATTCATTTTTGAACTTGATTATCCTGTTTAACATGATGGTCGAAAATAGTTTTCCGATTGTACTACTCACAGCAACTGCTCTGTAATTGTCTGGATTATCTTTGTCGCCTTTTTTGTGTAGAGGTGTAATAATGCTGTTGTTCCATGGGTAAGTTCCAGTGTCCAAACAGCGGTTAAAGACTTTGCAAAGGAGTTGTTTGTTTGTTGTGGACAAGGTCTTCAGTATTTCATTACATATCATATCCTCCGAGGAACTTTTGCCGTTTTTGAGTGAAGAGATCGCAGTAGATATTTCGTCCACAGAGATCTGGCCATTGAGTATTGATTGTGCAGGGGATGGTTGGAAATTATTGTTAATAGCCTCTGCATTTTGAAGCATTTCTTCCTTATTCTCTACAGACATCGAGTTATTGGCTGCTGACATGGAGAGTTCCCCGATTGACATGCACATTTTGTTCTGAAGTCTTGTCCGCTTTTCAGATAAAGATCCTGCAGTTGAGACTTGACTTCTTATGAGCTCCTTATCTACCGTTCCCCCATCCATCTTCCCTACAACTGCACTGATCGTTGATGCAAGCAGGAGTCCTCCATCTGCTTCATAATCCAGGTTGTCTGCTACAGACGTTACTCGAACAACAGTGGGGGGAGTCTTAAGGAGGGGGAAGTTCATTTCTTCAGCCTGTTCCGTGGTGATGTCTGACTGAGGGTTCTTCTGCGGACCTTTGAGGGCGCTGTCAGTTTCTGTTGGACATTTCTGTTCAAATATCAGGAAGTACTGTTCTTCTACTTTTCCCCAACCTCTAGGTATCGAGCGTTTGTATCTCAACTCTGTCTTGCCACTGAGTACGCACAACGTGCCAGACATAAGGGCCGCTTTGTGGGTTACTTGACTCCCAGCTTGGGTCTTGATGTACATGGGGCGTGGATCCTTCAGACCAAGTGCCAACACTGCAACTACTGGAGAGAAATTGCTGTTTTCCTGGCTAGTGTTGCCGTATGGAATACTGTGTGAGGGGTCACTCATCCGATAAATAGTGGTCTTGTCAAACTTAACATCCAACTGAAAAACGTCCTCAACCGTTTTGTTGATACGATCCTGGTGGCATTTGACAAAAGAGCAAAGTTCAGACGGTTCGTCCAGGTTTACGGATAGTTCAGACATTTTAGGGGTTGCGGTCTTCTTAAGCTTCTTTGCCCCCTTTTTTAGATCAACATCTGTCAGTTTGGTCTCCACACCATGTTTGAGGACTATTTTGTACCTATCTTTATCAATGATTACCCAATCGCTAATCACGTGACAGGATGCTAGGATACCGTAATGAGGCTTTCTGCACGATTTCTGTGCCACTCTTTTACTGGATCAGACACCACCAGTCGGATCCACGGAGTTGGTAAGGATCGGCTATTCAGAACGATCGCATCTATCGATGAAAGTGTAATAGATGCTTTTTATTCGGCAAATTCTACACCAGCTACCATAAAGCATGTCGGAGAACCTTTGATGCTGCAGTTGATTTCATCAAAATCGAGATCACTAAATGAAGCTAGACTTTCAGTTCTTGAACAGAAGTCGCAATCTTTAACAGCAGACATCAAGTGCGAACAGCTTCCGCCAACATCTGGGGCAGCTGAACAATATTCTTATCGTGTTTACCATCAGCTGCAGGCGTGAGATGAGAATGACCTAGATCCGATAAGCTGGGGAGTGGGGATGGAAGATGAACAATGGGGCGCATGTACCAGTGACCACTCTTATGAGTACAGCTCCGAAAAAGCTCATTCAAAACATCAGTTGCAACTGTTTAAAGTCAGGTTGTGGCAATGCTTGTTCATATGCAGAAAAGCAGGAATACATTGTGGATCAACCTGCCTTAAATGTCAGGACAATTGCACCAATATGCCAGCTGAGGACTCATAAGTAAGACTCTTATCTAGTATATTATATGGTTATATAAAATACTGCTTCGATTTCCCGATTAATTTAATGAAAAGGTGTTAATTATTCGTGTTATGTAATTTTAAAATAATTTGATCGAAAATAATTTTTATAATTTTTGAATATTTGTTAAATAATTGATTAACTAATTAATTAATTATCTAATCCAAAGGTTGTCAGATAAAAAGTTGTTCTCTTTCATGTTTTGAACACATTGGTTCAATCTAGAACTTTCTACGACATTCAGAAGTCGTTTTATTAGCGGAGATTCAATGTGGTAAAAAGTGGTAAATAGTGGTTATTCTCTACAAATTTCGAAAAGTCCAAAATATTGCTAGTGAAAATTTTCAAAAGTTTTATAAAAATTAGTTCATTATACGTGTAATGTAATTGTGAACATTTTTTATCAAAATATATTTTTGAAATATTTGAAAATTTATTAATTATTTAATTAATTAATTAAATAATTTATTTTTGAAAAAGTTGTTAAAGAAAAAGTTGTTCTTCTTTGTTTTCTAAACACACTGCTTTAAGCTAAAATCTTCTAGGATATTCAGAACGTGACTTATTTGCGGAAAACCAAAGTGGTAAAAAGGTGGTAAAAAAGTGGTAATTGTGGATTTTGCTCAAGTCAGAAATTTTGGGAATTCTCTGGAATGATTCCTGGGACCTGTCCCGACCATTTCCCGTTAAAATCGCTTTGTTGCGAATTTTGTCCGACAAAAAGACGTATTTGACTGTACTACGTTTCTTTTGTCTGAAAATAATTTGTTTGATTTTCGAATGACTTGATCGCATCTTGAAGCAAGATTGCAGTGGTGGTCGGTGGAATGGTTGCGACATGGAGGATTTGGCGATAAAAACATAATACTAAAATTGAAAATAGTTAATTAAATAATGATTACTTAATACTTTACATCGACCAGTCTGCAAAGTCAGCCCCCATCTCCACTGTGCTGGCTGTGTGTCTAAACCGAGTCAGCCACTAAATCCTGGAAATTTTTAAACGTTTTAAAAATTTTCATTGGTACACTAAACCGAGATATATCAATAGCATTCCAGATTTATAACTATTGATGCTAAATATTTAAACTAGTTGATCATGGCACTTATCTGATACCTCCCGCCGCAGCTCACAGTACATGCAGTATGTGTGCACAACGGAGGGGAGAAGGGGAGTCCTGCAGACAGACTCCGGGTCTGCCTCCTCGTCACGTGACCGAGCCGAGTCCGTCGGGTCAGACTCTCTTTCTGACGACTTCAGTAAGGTATGTACCAGCTGAGGTTTCAGTTTAGTGAGGAATTTAGGTATACATTTTTTAAAGTTTGAAATATATATTACTAAAGTAAGTATATTTTGATAGTCTCGGCACCGTCTAATATTTATAGAAATAATACCATTTACTCATTTAGTATTTACCAACAAAAAAAAATGTACCTGATTCCATCGATCTCGTTCGAAGCCTTTAAATCGTATTGTTATCAAAATTGATTTACGATGTCGGGTAAAAATATTGTACCTCGAATTTCGAGGGATACTCACTACTCAGTCCCGGAGAAAAATATAGTCTGATCCAATCAGTGATGTGTACAAATACTCAATAGCAAATACATTTATAAATATATTCCCTGCACTCTGCTGTTTGATATCTAAGATAAGGTTGTTATTTAAACGGATTGAGGGGATGGGAGACTGGAGACTGAATAGGGAGGGAGGGAGGGAGGGCGTGACTGGAGAGGGGAGGAGGGGGAGAAGGAGAGAGGGAGGGGGAAAGGGAGAGGGAGAGTTTGGGTTTTAAAGTGTACAGTTTAAAAGGCTCTAAAATTATACTCACTTAAGTCTTGATGAACTTCCACTTCAATAAGTGATACAATTTCTTTGCCGCCTTGAATCTGAACGCTCGATCCTTTTTGATATAGATAGGAAAAGATATAAAGATTTTTTCCCTCTTCGAATTCAATTGTGCCAACTTTAACCGCGCGTTCGTAGTCTCCTCCGGTCAAACCAATACCAACCCAAACTGTCACTCCATCTATTCTGTTGGAATCAGATCCCTCTCTGTTGTATACCTTGTGGACGTATGCCGTGAGATGTATATATGCGGCGAATTCTTTTGCAGGCTTATGACATGGGATTGATATGAATTTTATATTGATCGCCTACCTATTTTATTATTTTAGTTCATTTTTACCTTGATCTCACGGATAATGATTTCGCTCGGTAGTGTTAGTAGCCACCACGCATCTTTTCCTTTCGTGATTGTTTCCGCCCGTGATTCTCTGTGAAATATTATTTTGTGAAATGGTATAACGTAGTACTAGTACAAACATTTTTGTCACGTACCATCGTTGCAAGATGTAAAAGGAAATAGGATATATTATTGAGGGAGGGCTAAATTGGATTCCACATGGCTCACGGAAGCCAAGTAGACAGAAGTTTGCTAATTCTGGGACGGATTAACATGAGATATGTCGAATTAAATGGCAAACATCTGAGTGTTATATATAACACTCAGATGTTTGTCAGTTAACTATATATAATACCATTTAGTATTTACCTGCTTCCATCGATCGCGTTCGAAGCTTCAACTTCAAGGGAAGTTCCATCGATTTGCTCTGCAGTTCCGCGACGAGCTATGTTCTTGGGATCTGTCGCGCCAACTTTACCTGATTTGATACAATTCTTTTAAATCCTAATATATACATGTTATCTTGTTACAGCAGAAACAGCAAAATGGAAAGTTCCATAATATTAATCATATCTACTATAAGTTGAATCCGATCGGTTTTCCTATCCTTTTTGCCAATAAATTTTCTGATGATAACATTGGAGTATGATAATTCAGTCAATTATGTTCTAGCATTTTTTGAATATTTTCACATTCTTGCAAAATAAAGAGCCGTATTCGTTAATCAGTGGAATTAAAGTCAGTTAAATCACTATAAACTGCCATATCACTGGTATTATTAGCTCTTGTGCATTGACTACCAGACGGAACCATGTTTTAAAGTCATGATGAAACGTAAAAAGGAAGATAAGTTTGACTCCAGTGCTTACCGGTACCTTTAGTGTTGGAGTTTGTGAATATTAAAGACGATAGATACCAACCTTTGCAAACAGAATTTCCATAGGTGCCGTAGACTTCAATCTCGGCTAAATTCCACGGTTCTACCTTTCCATCCTGGCTTATCTCTATCCTATTTCCGTCTCCTCTACAATCGAATGTGTAGGAACCTTTTGCACTGTCGAAATTACCACAATCTGCTACATACTCATCTCCTGTCTTTATGAAGAGTGAAGCTCCAATTATCCTTTGTTGAGACTCGCCTCTGTTATAGACGATCACCTTGGTGACAGAGGAGCACTTCGCCAGATTAACCCTTATCCACAGACCGTGATCTTCAGGTTGTTCGAGAGTGTGTGCAGGGCTTCCTTTATCTCCATCAATAAGCCTTGAGGCAGGCCACCCATCTTTAATGCTTTTCATCTCTGCACTTGCCAGGTCCAACTTATTTTCTTCTGAAACAGATTTTTGTTGTTAGAAAAGCGGAATTGCTTTATGAATATTGAATAGGCGCGATTTATATCTCCGCAAAAAATCATACATATTCTCTCAAATTGGAGCCATTGCTGATTGCAATATAAACGTCTTACAGATTTCATGAATTGGAGACAAGCTCACTTTTAATTCCATCAGTACGGTTATTTTTTATTGATTCAGTTGAACATATCAAAACATTCAATATTCATTATCATGTTCTAGGTATATTTACCCTCGGCCTCGGAGAGATTTGATATCGTCCCAAACAGGATCAGGAAAAACAGCATATTTCGGATGCTATAAGGTAATGGTTGATGAGTTTTAAAGAACAAGTCATGATATTAGAAAATATCTCGTACATTTAAAAAAAGTGTTCGACCCTAGAGGGCTAGCACGGTTCTTGTTAATTTAATAGCTAACGAAACCTAAAGAACGATACTCTGGAGTCTGGAGTGTTGAATGTGCAGTAGGAGAGTGAGAGAACCTGGCTCACGAGATCTGTCGAATTGGCTATATTTTTTAATCGTTTCCTAGTAGCGCAGTATTTTACTCATTGTTTTAGAGGATTAAAGTGATTACAAGGAGTAAAGAGGGTATTTGCGTGTAGGAAAAGAAAACGTTACTTATCAAGGTGCTTGGCATCGTGGCTAGGAAGTTTCCCTTTGGGAGGGATGGCAATTAACTCATAATTGGAGTCGTTATATTGTAGGAAACTCTGAGGTAGATCATTGTTACTCCAAAAATAGGAACGACCGAGTCGAGTTCCTTAAGCTGGCAATAACAATGAAAAAGAGCAAGTAAATAGAATAAGAAAGGGATTGTATGCTGATGTAAATTCAACCTGTATTGCTTCAACTAATTTGAACTTCTAATGATTATGGAAAAAATTAATCTCGATATTTTTATTTCTGAGACCTTAATATAATCAAATAGAAATGAAATAAAAGTTATACTTCTTACATCATGGCCAAGGAGCAAAACCGCATAGAATAAAGTGTCAAGGTCAAAATGATAAAAAAAGATTTATATTATAGCTGAAAAGATGGTCAATCGTGTCTTGTGCCATCCTCAGTGACCTTGTAAGATGGTCAATGAAAAAAATTAAGTCAACACAATAAAATGTTGATCGTGGAAAGCTGAAATTCGAATATGTCTTACCGGTAGGTACTATTATATTAGTAGTAATATGTCCTACCGGTAGGTACTATTATATTAATAGTAATATGTCCTACCGGTAGGACATATTCCTAATTTGATTCTATTCTAGTGATGATCACTGGATGGCAAAGCTGAGAAGGTATTTATTTACAGTGGTGAACTCTACCCTTTTGTAAAACGTTTCAATGGCATTCATTAGCTTAATCAACAGTTAAAGTCAGACTAAACTTAAACACAAAGGGGCTCCACTCTACAGGCTCCTAATTGCACACTGCATTATATCAACACCTATCTCATAGGTGTGTTCTAGAGAGGGTTGACTAGGTTTATTTTCAGATAGTGGCTGATGATACGTGCACTAAGTTTTTGCGATGACGGTAAAAACCTCGAATATTTGATTGAAGAAAACATAAAAAGTCAGCAAAAACAGAAAGGTGACTCCTCAGCTGGAATAGATGCTCCAAAATGATGCCATATTCTGTGATAAGTGTAAAAGATGCACCCTGCAAATAACTTCCTGTCCAGCGATGGGTCTAGAACAGTTAAAGTCCCTACTTCCTAATTGCTATGAAAAGTTATGCTGGAGAGGGGCTATTGATCAGACAAAGAGAAACAATTTGTAAAACGTTTTGAGATTCATGGGATTCATAAGCTTAGTGAACAGTCGAATAGGGCGAGTCATGAGATTCAAGGTTAAAGTCTAACTAAACTGAACCGCAAAGCGGCTCCAGGCTCCTAAATTCTAATTGCACACTGCATGATATCAACACTGTCACATACTGCTTACACCTGCAACGTGTCTCGCAAGTGTGTTCTAGAGCGAGTGAAATTGTGGGGGGGGGGGGGGGGAACTCTGGGGTTCCTAAATGCAACTCGCACATTGCGTCATGTGGTAGTTTCACTGCATGATATCGACACTGCTTACACCTGTCTCACAAGTAGGTATGTTCTATAAGAGAGGGAGGATAATAATTGTTGTCTATGTTTATTTTCAGATAGTGGCTGATGATACGTGCACTAAGTTTTTGCGATGACGGTAAAAACCTCGAATATTTGATTGAAGAAAACATAAAAAGTCAGCAAAAACAGAGAGTTGACTCCTCAGCTGGAATAAATGCTCCAAAATGATGCCATATTCTGTGATAATATCTCGTACATTTAAAAAAAGTGTTCGACCCTATTATAGAGGGCTTGCACAATCTCGATCTAAAAATGCCAATCGTCAGATAGGTTCTTATTGTCTTGTTAATTTAATAGCTAACGAAACCTAAAGAACGATACTCTGGAGTGTTGAATGTGCAGTAGGAGATTGAGAGAACCAGACTCACGAGATCTGTCGAATTGGCTATATTGTTTAATCGTTTCCTAGTAGCGCAGTATTTTACCCATTGTTTTATAGGATTAAAGTGATTACGAGGAGTGAAAGAGGACATTGGCGTGTAGCACTGTAGCTCGGAAATAAAACGTTACTTATCAATGTGCTTGGCATCGTGGCTAGGAAGTTTCACTTTGGGAGAGATGGCAATTAACTCATAATTGGAGTCGTTATGATGTAGGAAACTCTGAGG